CATACTTTCAGTTTCAGTCAGAAACCGTCACCAAAACAACCAATAAACAATCCCTGTGGCAGATCGAGATCGATGCGAACCTTCAAAATATTGGATTAGCTTTAATACAACTGTTATATATATTGTCTATTGATTTTCATTTTTATCATTTTCTTTGCAAATTCGATATTGTAAATGAGACACAGTTGCTCAGAGGAACATGTCCAAAGATTAACCAAACAATTTCAAAAGCAATTTCACAACTGTTCAAATCAAAGAAAGAAAAAGGATCAAGAATGACCAAAACGTTACCCTAGAGACTAAATAGTATTTGAGGGTGGTATTAAAGTTTTTAAAGAAGCAAAAACATTGTTCTCTATGTTACAGATGTTATCTGCCCAGCCAAGTGGGTGCTGATTATGAACGACAAAAGCAACAATGATCGAACTCGTCTCAAAGTGCTGGTCATATGTCTGGTCAGTAGGCCACGTGCCTGAATCAACATTTCGACATTTTATTAAATTTCACCTGCCACGTCTTTGATCAATCCATTGTTATCTTACTTGAAACTCGAGATTCCCAAAAATGGCGGTTTGCATCAAACGAAAACAACCTTGTTATGCAATTTCCTCCCGTTTCAAGCACCACTTGTTTCAAATAATCTGATCTTCATAAATGAAGAGTGCCCTTTTACGAATCATTTATGTTCTCTTCAACTTGAAAATTTTTTATTTCAAGAAGATTTCAAATCTTTTTCAAATTTGCCCCGTATTTCAGAAAAGCCAATTACATCCTTGTAGATTGTCCAATCATAAAATATTCAAATTGCAACCGCAAAGCGCAAACAGAGCCATTCTAAGTAGGAATATTTCGTGCATTTTCTCTGAATGTCCCTTTTTTTAAGAAAATAATAATACCATTATATCAAGAGTTTCCATCATAATATGATTTTATATAACACAATGTTTTTTGTTTTACCTTTTTTCTTTTGTGTGTAATATTGAGCAGCAGTGATGGGAGTGGTGCCAAGCAGGGTATACTAACTTTTCTAGACATCTGATACCACTTTTCATTATGAAATACGACATATACGACATAATTTTTTCTTTAATTTCTAATTTTCACCCAGGTGATAATTCAATAATATTCAATTAAAAACTTGAATTTTCACCTGGTTTTTAATTTCAAATTACGTTTTATAACTATATTCCAGTTTTTCAATACAAAATTTAAAAAAAATGAATGGCGGTTGAAAGTTAAAGTTTCTAATTAAATATTATTGAAATATCACCTGGGTGAAAATTAATTTTGTTTTACCTTTTTTCTTTTGTGTGTAATATTGAGCAGCAGTGATGGGAGTGGTGCCAAGCAGGGTATACTAACTTTTCTAGACATCTGATACCACTTTTCATTATGAAATACGACATATACGACATAATTTTTTCTTTAATTTCTAATTTTCACCCAGGTGATAATTCAATAATATTCAATTAAAAACTTGAATTTTCACCTGGTTTTTAATTTCAAATTACGTTTTATAACTATATTCCAGTTTTTCAATACAAAATTTAAAAAAAATGAATGGCGGTTGAAAGTTAAAGTTTCTAATTAAATATTATTGAAATATCACCTGGGTGAAAATTAATTTCCACCCAGGTGAAAATACAAGTTTTTAATTAAGAATTTTAGAATTATCACCTGGGTGGAAATTCAAGTTTTTAATTTAAAATTCTGGAATTATCACCTGGGTGTATATCAATTTCTCACAACCGTAGCTACCAATATATTGCCAAACTATTCTATTTGATTTCGGGCTTTGTTTTGACGTTCTGTTAGTAGACTATTTTTTTTATATTCATATCGATTAAATTGTAACCAATTTATAACTGGACATGTCATCGCTTCCAAATGAAACGAAAATATTCCTTTGGAGGATGTGAAGAATTTTTTCAACCGAAATGGCCTCATTAAGGCTTTGTTCCCATGTTAAACATGAAAATTCAACAAATTGTTTGAGACTGTATGCTTCAAGAGAGGAATTTGGTAACGTTGCTGAAATTGAAATCCAAAGGACAAGATGAAAGAAGTACTATTATGTCCTCAGAATGGACATGATTTGAACAATAAGATATGTCCTTCAAATGAAATTAACTTCTGTCATATTTACATTTAATCGAACATTCTGTGAGTTTGTCTAGCCCCTTGTCATCCTCTTAGTCTGTTCCTTGTCGTGTTGCCTTAACCCCTAAATATGACCCTTAACCCTTGACACGACCTTAAGGTCACACAATCGTCATAACTGATCCACTTCAATGGGGAATTTATCAATGGCCGAATTGATTTCTTTATTTTTCAAAAGAGGTGTGACGGGCCACGTGCGCCGACCAATTCAATCACATTTTGAAATTAGGTCGAAACTTTACTGTCTTTTCCACGAACCATTCAATACGAAACGTATTAGATTTGGGGTCGAACTATGTTCAAGAAGACTTTAAGCAAACACGAGTCTATAGAATTGAATGATCTGAGATGATGGGAATGAAAGGTTTAAATTTTGTAATTGAACAAGGGTTAAAATGACAACTGATTCAGAGAAAGTGGTTGGAGTTTGACCAATCTTCCGGGCCTATTGTTACGGATATTTATTTTGGTTTAATTATATCCCTGAAGTTTATTATAAGACAGATTTTGATAATGAAATTCTCGACTGACAGTTGTTTGCTTACACTTTTATCAGAACAAACAGACGTCACTGAACCTTTAGAGTGGAACTACATCTTTGAGAGAGTAATCAAATACATTTTTTAAGACAGCATCGGTGAAAAGATTTTTTTTTCTCAATAATTTGCCTTAACAACGTTCCACGTTTTAATGATCTACATAATTTCCATGTGTATAATGTTTCGACAATTTACAAGTTACTTTATTTACCCTATATAAAGGTCTATGTGATCACTACATTAAGCATCTGTTGCCTATATTATACAAATAATTATTTTGACCGAATTAAATTGAAGTCAGACTATTGCAGTGTAGGTTGATAATATTTATAACCCACTAAACGCACGTTATTGACTGAAGATTAAGGAGTAAATTGAAACTCTATCCAAATCGAGGAAAGTTAATCGCTCAATTTTCCGGTTCACGTTGTTAAATTCAATTCTAAGGTATCACTAAAACCAATTATTACAGTTTCGCGACATTGTTTCCTTCTAAACGATGGGATACAATGACATACCCGCTGGTTACATCTTCCTTATACAAACTTTTCTTACAAAACAATGAACTGTCCAAAACTATAATTCAACATTATTTCGTTTCACAGTATGAACTTTAAAAGAAATTTGAGGGGTGCTAATTGAGTGGCTATTGAATATAGTTTACCTTAAAGGGTGCAGTGCAAAACTTGTATAGGTCTTATCCTACAAATCATTTTTTTATATATTTTGCAGCATCAAGTATCTTAAAGAAGCCCACCCTGATAATGAGCGTTATTATTCAATGTAATATTTGGTTTGGCCGTTATAGCGAAGTTGCAAATTTGATCATACATACATATAGTTTCCTAAATATTCAGGCCAGAAAAAAAACATTGTTTTGCATGGACTTATAAAATGTGGAATTAAGTGCCCGAGGATTGAAGTTTTAAATGCAGATCGCCGTATATTAAGTTAAATGATTACCCCCTGTCTGTGTTGAAAAGGTTAATTTGAGATTTGATATAATCATCCATTGAGGTGTCAGGATATCACGGAGTGGTATCAATCATAACAAGGAACAGTAGAAATTCAGCGGCAGAAGTACCACGTGCTACGTGTCACACCTGTAATTAATGAAATGACAAAACATACGAATAACCTCCCTTGATCTAGGGTGATATAATAACCAATTCAAAAACAGATTTTTTTAAATAGATATTTTTAAGCACAATTCTCACACTTAATATTACACTTTTACCAAACCGTTTAGAACAATACCACATACACCGATATAAAAAGTTTTAAACAGTATGCTGGTATCATCAGTACCAACCCACAACGAGGACGAGCTCGTGCTCTTGGTTCCACTGATTCCTCCGACCATTTGAAGATCTACACCGATGATTCTCTCTAAGCAGCTTACAATCTATTCTTCACAATCTTCAAATTGCAGGTCAGACGTTCAAAGTTAAAATTCAAAGTATTAGAACTATCGTAAACACGTCATGTCTGCAACAATTATCAAACAGGCTTGTGCCAAGGAAACGCGAGTATGAAGGAGTACTTTTACACGTAACTTCTGCAGTATCGTATCATCAAGGATCATTCAGAAATAAATATGAACCTTATCATCGATAGAAACCAGATGGTTCGAAGATAACAAACCATACCGAACCAAACCATCCATCTGTAGCCATGTACAAACCGATAACCAGACAACGCACCAACAACGTCCTACGAGAAATCAGTTCAACGCCATTCAATGTCGATGCGGCTACATCGCCAATAGGTTGCAAGTTCTCGTTCATTGTACGGAATTGGATCTCGCTCGTGAGTCACAAAATGTCGCAGACTTTTAATTGAAATATATGAAGCTTCAAGTTGATTAAATTGACGAATACAAGGGAATTCAATCTTGTTAAAAACATTACTATAGTTGGCCTACCATATACATGTATAATGTATAAAAGGTATTGAAAAATGTAATATTGTAACACATGTTCGTTATAAACATTATAAATATACAGAGAATTCATGAATTCAGTAAAGATACATAACATTACCATATAACAGAAAGATACACCAATGCATAATGTTCAAAGGAGGGGGTTCTTTGGAAATTAAAAAATACGCTGGTTGAAGAAGCAATACCATAAACAGAACAGAATAACACATTATAACATAATATTTAAGTGGATACAATTGGAAATCACGACGTGGCTAAAAAGCAAAGCTGGGAGATAACCAGGGTCTCACACCAATTCTATAGGAAGATTTAAAAGATTGAGAGGAATATAGTTATATCGTAAGCTACTTTTCAGAATGAAAAAAAAAAATCTCTACGGTCAACTTGATTGGCCTGGCTCGTCTGTGCACATATTCAAAGTTATGACATACATGTAATGAAATTCATAATGTTCAAAAGCCTGATTAAGAAATACATAGACATACCTTGTCTGTGTAGATAAACGATTTGTTACTTATTACGTAAAACACAATTTTATGAGCGCAGTAAATATAGCTTAACCTTATATCGGTATCGCCTCTGGTCGAATTTAGGGTCAAACGAAATAAATATTTCAGTAAATGGACTATTTGAACTTGATCTTTATTTCTTTGCTTCGATTTCAAGGAGAATATTTTGCCTCGGGGTCTACCATATTGAGATTTTCAAACAGACTAGTAATGGCGGACAAATCCCGTGAGAAGATTGCATAATCATAACGCACAACCAGATTAAACGAACTGATCATTACCGTATTATGAATCAACAATTCAGCGTAACATGTTTGCCTATTGGTTTGTTGTGTCCAGGGTGGTCTTCGTTTAAAACACAACCCTTGGGTTTCTGGATAGTTAATATTAAGCCAATTATCCAATGTTATATATGCATGTTATTGGTCGTCGCTTGTGGTCTAAAGTCCAACTGCAGGAAATGACCTAATCGGGGTCAGCTGGGAAAAGGAAATTGATATTGGTTTACGATCAAATTGTTTTAGTGCGACCAATCGCATCTCTCGGGCCAATTTAATCATAGTTTCATTAGGATCAAGTTTTCCATTACATTGGTCGAAACTCAGGACAATTTTTCAACCTATCCTATCCTGATTAGGCCTATCGATAATGAATGATAATGTTATAAACAAGAAAGGAAGATCCCAAGGAACCACAGACGTCTGATTGAAAATTGAAATCAGTGACCACGATACACATAATTGTTTTTCGAAAACTCTTCTACAATCACTTTAATATAACGCAATTTGGCACAAACTGAAGACTGGTTGATCATTTCCCTTTGAAATGTACGAATGCTTAGCGCGTTTGAAATAGAAAGTACAAACGGCCTTCGTGAAAGTTACGCTAGCCCTCTGCCGAAAATTGGCGAATGTAGAAAGTATTGACGTCATGAATTTCAGACACAGTTTGGCAAAATGAATTTTAACCATGTCAAGTCAGATGAAATTTGACGTCTGAAATCAATTTTAAACGAACACCTTACGTCAGTAAGAGGTTTGTGTGACGTATTGTGTTTTGTCTTTATGTCAATCGGTGTGATGTGGTTAATAAACCGACTGAAACACAACCTCGGATACGCCAGACCACCATGTTACATAATCAACAGCACACATGTCAGTGTCGATCAACAAATCTATAGCCACGCCCATTTGACCTTAAGGTCACGGATGGACAGTGGTCAGAAACAATAAGCATATGCCCTCAATGTCCTTATGGATTATACCATTTTCTAACTTTGTGGTGTTAGATATATTTCACCCATTTCATAATTAATTAAAAAGTAAATCTAAAATGATTTAATGTTGCCGATATCACTTTGATTTTGGTAAACTATACATGGTGTGTGCGAAAAATTACTTGTAATACTGTTTAAAATTGTTGCATACTCGACCTTTGACCCCTTGACCACATCATGGAATGTCCCATTCTCTTGTTAATTATTACATCAAATCCAGTTGGCAATCTGGACATTTTAACCCATCATAACCAGTTGAGAAATAACTTCAGACGAAAAGGGACGTCGGATAAAACGCAGGCAGTTTTAGAACTACATCAATCGGAGTAGCAGACGACTTGTAATAGTTCCAAACCGGTTTATGTCATACCATCTGATCTCCGACATTGCAGAAAGTTATAATCTCTTTGACACTAGTCGATTATCGCGAGATCGACATTTTCAGTTTACTAAATTTAGATTACATCACCAGCATCACGGAATCCAAGAACAGAAACAACCACACGCTGTCAAGAACAGCAACGGTGGACGGAAGACGGAAACCGACAACCAAATACAAAACTGGCGTTCGAGCATTACACCGACGGCACGATGCCACCATGTTCCAGGGATCCGAACCAAGAATACCGTCTGACGTCACAATATGTGCCAAACACAGGACCCGAACAGAACCAGGATTCTACAGACACAAATGGCAAAAAGAAAGGTAGGAAGATCTGTAATTCACATTGACACCGCAGGCAATTCATATGCAAAATGTTTATTTAAGATGGCAAGGTTGTTCAACCTGAAATCATAGAATGAAGATATGCACTAATTCCTTAGTAAGACTAGACCAGACTTACTTCGACCTGTTTTACACCATTATAAATATATTAATACACATAGTACACTAGGTTATATTGACACTATTTTGGATCAGATTGATATGTAATAAGTGGCGTTTCTACACGGAGCTAGCGGATGGATCACCCCCTTCCCTTTCTTCCCTTTCAGAACTGAATTTTCGAGCCCCCTGTCTAATGATTCAGAGTGATTAAGAGGTACCCCCTCCCCTCTTCTCATAAACACAACTACTCATAATAAGTTGCTGTGAATAACTGGCTGATATAAACAAAATCCTGTTTGCTCACGAATATAATTTTTCAAATACAATATGTATTTGACATTGTATAAATACAGCTACTGTGAAGTCTATCAGTCTGTAAACCAGGTTATCATGACCTGGCCACTAGCCAATAATCGATGCCATTATCCAAAGGGAATCATTAAATCAGCTGACCAGAATGGACAACACCTGTTCAAAGTGTTGGCCATTCAGTTGGAACTGCTGTTGATTCCATGTTGACAAATTTTTAGGTTGTAACATTTCAGTTACTGGCTGTAGGAAGGTGCATTTAAAGAATGAATTTCGAAATTTTCTGCAGAATATTTTCTATGAGACTCGCCTCTATTCAATTTAACATTATTTTGTACTTTGCATTTTTTTTGTCGGCCGTTTTGTCGGCCGTAGGCTTACTTGTGTCGCGCCATTTGTTGAAAAGCAGCATTTAAATTACTTAGACTTACTCAAAACCTTTCTTCTTAAAACCCCTTCTTCAATTCATTTTCCAATAAACCATTTTATATCAATGCCATTTGAAAACTTCATGGTAATATAAGTTACTAATTTTGTTGACAATATTTGTATGTTAAAGATAGTGGTTTGTAATTTACAAATAATGCAAATGTGAAAGCTGAAAGCTGCTCCTTTTTCACGATGTTGAATAATTCTAAACCAATAAGGACTGTTATTACGAATAAGCTTATGCAATAATCATTATTCAATTCTATATTGCTTCCTAATGAAAAATGTCATTTCAGTGTTCTCCATATATAGGATCGATATTCTGTACACTCTGATAGTGTATAGGGATAATAATGATGAAACGGAAATTTAGAAGTTGCCTTTGGCAACCTTTAGAAATCCGTTAATTTGGAATTTGACCGCTGTTTAGGGTCAATGTGTACATCTAGCGTACTAATGATAAGGTGGGTTCAATCATGAAAAGGGTATTACGCCATGTGACATAACATTACATCAGATAGCGAACAACTTAAAAGTATTGTTCTGACCAATTAATCTAGTTTGTAATTACTGCTATAGTCCTCTTTCTTCTGGGGACACAGGAAGGTCATTGTTATACGCTGACTGGTCGTCTTGTAAAAAAATGTAACATAACAAACAGCTTCGGGCTGTTATGTCAATCTTCTATTATGTCGTGAGGGTTTTTCAGATTTTAAAAGGTTAGATCATCCATCATTTTATGAAGTAACCTGCTTTGTCCCCACATTCACTATTAATGATAGCCTAATGTTTAGCATTGGCGTGCAAATTTGCATCAGAATGAATATAGATGGAGGTTGATGTGACTGGAAAATAACTATCGACGAATATCATATTTTAACAATTACTCTGTACGCTGTAACATCAACAAAATAATTCTATGATTATGTTATGAATATGAAAGAGTAGACAGCCTGATGCTGTAACTCGTTCATCATCTAATAAATTGAAAACTTTATACAATTTATCAACTACAACACTTATAAGGAATAAAATAAAAAAGTTTCAGAATAGCCACCTATTGCCTTGTATCCATGAAAACGCTAATAAATGCTGTAGTATATTTTAATAGTGTTTGAACAGACTGTTATGCAATGCCAATGTTATAGCCGATAATAGTAAAATGGTCATTACTAATGTGCATTAATACTATTAATCATTAAGTCACTATAATATGATATATACTGTTGAAACCTAAAGATATGGGATTGAAACTATAGTGATAAATATATCTGTACAGTAGCCTATGTACCGGATTCGGGACATAGAAGATGTCAGTTACAAATCCCGGTTTAACTACATCTAAATAAGCCTTTATTTTAATTAGAAATAATTTTTACTGTAGGCCTATATAAATAATTGTAATAGGTCACCATGACCCAGTCAAAGTCGAGGTCGCACTTGGTACACAATGACCTAGATAGGGGAATTCCCCCGTAGTCTAATTAACCAGATTGATAACAATATGGTATCAGTTAGTATTAAAGAATACTGATACCATGTTAAAAAAATTAAAAACTTCAATCACTGCACACACATAGGCTTTAAGTTAGGGCGAGGTCTTTCTTTTCAAATTTACACTCTTTGCAGCGTACCGCACGGCAGCTTGCTTTCTTTTGTTTTAAATTGATCAGTCATTTACGAATGGTTCAATGTTTTAAAAGATATTATCATATAAACTCTTCGTTTATTGCTGCTTAATCATAGTTTTTGTCAATTAGATATTGCCATTCGAATTTTTTATTTAAAAAAGAAATTGCTAAGTCCATATACTTGCACGCTTTATAAGACCGGTCAAAATAGAATGTGTTTATATATGAAGAAATACTATAAAACATATAGCCACGTACTGATATAGTGGTCAGTCGGTAACCGTCACGCTCTAGTGACTATTACTCTGATTACATTCATTACTGACCATGGTAACGAGCTAGTAATAATTGCCGACAGTCTTTGTTTGTAGATTAAGACATCAAGCCTAGACTTGAAGATACGGCAATAAGAATCTTGGTAACCGCGACTATCATGTTAATTGCTTATTACGATACGGGCGACTTATAACTATTTTAATATGTTATAATAACATTCTGCGGTCGTTTTATCCAGACTTCATGAAATCAATAACACCGATCTACATTAGATAATAACACCTGATATCGCTTTCATACTATGCTTTGTTGTAGTTGGGTCACTCTTTACGAAATTGATGAGTTCAGATCAAAATTTTACTTAGGAGATTCAACATTGGATAGGGCTATACGTAATTAAATCACTATAAATATAATGACATTAACTGTGTTTCCACTGAGGAAATAGTCAGTTTGAAGCTAGCTTTAAACTAGCTCTCAGGTACCTTCCGTGTGTTTCCACTGGGCAAATTGCCGGCACATTAGGGTTCGGGAACCGAAAACCTCTCTTTTTGCGTTCGACAATTTATCGGGGACCAGCTGAAAGCTAGCTTAAAGCCGGATTTCACTTAAGTCAGCTTTATTGCTAAACCGAGTTTAACTGGTTCCTGAACGACTCTAGCCTCGATTACAAAGTCGCACATTAATGACAACTCATGGTGTACAAGACTGTTGTTAAGACGAGATAAAACTGACTTTTTGCGTTTCCACTGGTTAAATGAAATCCGGCTTTAGGTTAGCTTTCAGTTGCCACCGATAAATTGCCGAACGCAAAAAGCAGGTTTTCAGTTCTCGAACCGTAACATAATAGCCTTCAAAATGAAATCTGGAAATCTTGACAGAAAATTCCAACTTTCAAAACGTTTCCTTGTCCACAAAAAAATCGTTACGGCTTTATTGCTTTACGCCATTTGAAGTACGGAAATGGCTGCGCTAAGTTTCGTTCAAATTACTACCATCGAAAGTTTAATGTGTTAAGCTCATTTTACAGCTCATGTAAATTAAACTTCAAATACACAATTCAAAATGGCGACGAACATGCATCGATGACCTAAATGTTAGGGTCAAGTCGGTTATGCAAGAATTTGTACCGTGATAGCCGATGAGTGGACTGCCCGAGGCGTTGAAAAATAATGTAAACACAGCCTTTTGACACCCCAGGCAAACTTGTCTCACTCAACCAGACGGTCCTTGTGAAAGACAGCAGCCGTTTGTTCGAGTCTATAGACAAATAAACGAATCCCTTTAATCATGTACAGGCCAGAGAAATCAAGATAACATGACCCTGTTTTAACTAGTTTATATATGGCTTAAATCAAAGCACTGAAATATTGAAATCTTAACATGCACTTGAAACCATCTTTCACCAAACGAACATGCCCGATTCAGATACAGCTCTATTTTCAATTTGCAATAAGAAATAAATATGTCATTATTTTTCAGAAATGCCCATGACTTGCCCTGATGCTGTGTTTTTTAATTTTTAAAGAATTTTGAAAAGGAATATATTCCGAATTCCCCTTTTTTGTCATTTCAGGAGTACCATATATTCCAAGTTATATGGATTTAACTAATGGACCAGAGCCGTGTGTTGTATGTGGGGACGCTGCCACTGGCTATCATTATAGATGTATGACATGTGAGGGGTGCAAGGTAAATATATATTCTTACTGTATGAGATATGGGTGGTGGAGGTTTACAAACCAGTATTACAAACCCATACAAAAGATTACTTCTTTCTCGAACCATATCTAAATTTCGCTATTTCATATTATGAAAAGGTGAAACAATACACATACATTTCTAAAAGTGTTATGGAACCTTTTAACCAATAAGTATTCTTTCCTTTTTCAGGGATTTTTCCGTCGAACGATCCAAAAGGAACTAAAGTACCATTGTAAATGGAACCAGAACTGTGAAATTGACAAAACCACTAGGAACCAATGTCAAGAATGTCGTTTTCAGAAATGTGTCCGTGTTGGAATGGCGACCGATCGTAAGTTTACTTTTATTGATGATATATTTTCAATGTATTATATATCAAACTCAACCACTTTTAGTGAGAATCGGTGATACATTCAAGACAGATGCAGGCCTATAATTTTATCTGACGTTTTGGGTTTATATCTTTAGGTAATGACTATCGGGCAATAGATTATCTGATGAGCTTGATTTAAATGTTTAGTTGATTTTTAAACATCAAATCAAAACATTCATGTCACAGTCGGACACTACAATTTAATCTGAAAACTGAAGTGCTCTGTTTTTTAAATGCACTATAGTATAGTATTATTAAAAATTTTAAACAGAATTATTCATTTTCAAAATATAGGCATTCTTGTTTCAAAGTGGCATTTTCCATAATTCCAGTTGTGTTAAACGAAAAACAACGAAAAGCAAAGAGAAAATTGATTGAAGACAATAGAGAGAGAAAGAGAGATGAAGTTGTACGACAGAGAACCTCACCAGAACCCAATGATTATGAAGTATTAAATGATAATGATAAGAAGATGATTGACGATATTACTAATGCTTATAATAATTCCAGTATTAAATCACATCCTTCTAGATTTATGATGGTAGGTACAATAGATAAATATTTATATATTATTTTACATATAAAATACATTGACAAAGAACACAACCGCAGAACTCATACTTTGGTTTTCAAGATCACTTTTATCATTTTTCTTATTAGTGAGAAAGTTGTAATCAAGCATTCAGCACTTTGTATTTAATAAATTTAATGCTATTATTAACCCACATACATTTATTATTAGAACATGACCAAAATACATAAATTATTTGTTATTAGTCATTTTACACGGGTGCGTATTGTGTTTGCGAATATACGATATATGAATTTATGCTAATGAAACGCATTTTTTGTTGATTTAGCCCCAATTTGACAGTAAATATCCAAACCAATCTGCTGAAATTGCTGCTTGGCAACAATTGGCGGAAGCTATGACACCGTCTATTGTTAAAGTTGTTGAATTTGCCAAGGGTGTACCCGGTTTTACTCAGGTAGGCCAAATATTTTAAAAAGCGTTTACTGTTTACATGGAAAATTCTCCAGTGTTTTGTAGAAAGGTTTTCGTACAGCTGAATCTGTATGTTGCAGAGCGCTAGCTCCACTTTTTCAATTAAACCGACAACATTTTAGCGATTCTAAAGTTCTCCCATGATAGTAAACTGACCATTTTATTTTACCCTTACAGTTAAATGTTGATGATCAAATCCTCTTGTTGAAATCCTGCTGTATGGAGATCATGTGTTTACGAGCTGCCAGACGATACGAACCAGACGAACAAATTCTAGTTTTATCCAATGGAATGACTATCCACAAATCTCAGCTAAATCATGTCTCAGTAGGTGCCCTCGTTGAGCCAATCTTTGAATTCGCTATTGGATTAGCAAAACTGAGCTTGGACGAAACTGAAGTGTCTCTTCTCGCCGCCGTCCTGCTTATGCAATCAGGTAAGTTTTTTTTTAAAGTTCAAATATACCACTTTCATTATGTAAAGGTATAACCTAATCTTCTAACTTTATTGAAGCATTCTGAAAAATCAGACGTCTGCAAATGAACTCAGTCGCTCGTTAAAAGAAACATTTAGACGACTATTATTGCATTGATTATTTTAATGTGCCAACCTGTTCTATCGATCACTGCTCTCATTTGAAAATTATCTTCAATCTCTTTTACAGATCGAACTGGTTTAAAAGATTCAGAGTCTGTAGAGAAACTTCAAGATGCCATCCTGGGTGCCTTTAAACGATATATTACGTGTAAAAGGCCCCATCAACCTGTCCATTGGGCCAAAGTTTTAATGAAGGTCACAGATCTAAGGACAATAAGTACTCGACATGCTGAGCGAGTCCTTTGCGCTAGGATCGATTCACCAGCAGGAATCCCACCATTATTTATGGAAATGTTCAAGGAAAACACAAGTTCATGACATCACGCCCCTCTAGACTAGGAAATTACGTAAGTTGGGCGCACGTGTGCTAGGTATATTCAGATCTCGAGTGCTTCCTGGCCACTCCTTTAGTAATATTTTGTTCAAATTCACCAGTAAAACTTCAACGAACAGTCAATGTTGCCATTTTTGACTATGAAGTCTGAGTTGAAACACAAGCCCCTGTGGTGCAACAGATAATGACTGAATTCAATGTCTGTGACTTGTGATCAAATACTATGACATTGATTTGGATTTTGATATTTTGATGACAAATTATAGAAATATACAGTCTGATTCATGCAAGCAGCAGTTTCATGGTTGTGACGTCAAAATTAAGCTAGTTTTGATATGGTTGCAAAACCTGATGAACCAGTTAGAAATATAATATATTTGGCTTTTCTTTGATTCCACAGATCCTGAAAATGGAGCTTATATGCTTGATCTCTTAATGTGATATATACATAAACCCGGTAAGGCCAAATATTTAAATCGAAGTAAAAGTCTTCGCCTTATGTAGTATTTCCGGTTTAGCCAAGGTAATTTGTGATAATTAATTTTCATAAAAGTATTCCATTTGTATTAGCAAGTAATTATTTATTTTTGTCAACGAGTCTTTTGATGCAAATCATTACAAACCGGTCATGTTTTACAACGAAATTCCTTTTACATACCATAACTTATTTCGATTAGATAGTAAAATATCACTGAAAAATTTGAGGACATATAAATAGTTTAAATAATAGTTACGACCTAGTCACAGGCATCTGTTTCTATCAATAGTCGACTCTCTCTATAGTAGTATATACTATTATAGAGAGAGTCGACTATTGATAGAAACAGATGGGAGACATGCGTCTGTGTGCTTCCACCGAGCTGTCACATGTGGAATGTCAGCCTCGACAGTTGAAATGTGCATTATAAATGTGAAGAATACTTACATGCCAATGATAAAACCATCTTAATCTAGTCTTTGATACGAGATATATACCATATTAAAACATATAAGCATTATGCCAAATAAAGCATTTATCACTACCAATATAGATGCCCTTTCTGATGACACCACTAGATTTCAGGCATAGAAAGGGAGACAACTTTTACCTCCATAGCTTTTTTAAATATCCCAGAAAATCAATGATTGAAATTTAAAGAGATAATTATCATATTGATGGCAAAATACAGAGTAGTTAAAGTGTTTCCAAATCTGTATTCATATCACTCTATCAGTTTTTTCCCTTATTAAATTGTCTCCCTTTCTACCAAAATTCGAATGTTGTCGTGAGAAGGAAACTTAAGTGATTATATAGTATGTAATTTGTATATAAGTAATTATTAGAGTATAACCTAATTAGAAATTATTGTATATGTCTTTGTATTAAAGAAAATGATAGAAAATAATACACAATAGAAATAACTAGTTTTAAACCATTAGATAGATAATATATTTATTTCATCCAATATCAATTTGTTTGGCCTCTTTTCAAGAGTTAGAAATCCTTTGGATGAAATTTAGAGAAAACAACAGTTTCTAAAAAATCTACATTTCAATCGATTTAGGTAATCGGTAATGATTTTTGGCACTTATAACTAAGGCGTTTTATTGTGTATTGTTATTAGTTTTTGCTATTTGAATGAAATTAATGAATGATTTTTAAATGAAATCGTAAATGAACTTGATGAATGAATTCGTGATAGTTTATCTATAACAACTATATCTACCTCTATTTGTGTATAAATGATTGTTTTTGTGTAGTAGTGAGCTTGATGTGAGTGAATATTCGTATATTTCATATTGAAGATCTTATGTTAGACATGCAATTCAATTTTTGCGTTTGTGAAGAACAAAAATTTGTTCCAGAATAGTCCTGCTAATACACGAAATGCATGGTTCATTGTACATTACATATAAGCCTACTATTTGGCATATATGGTCAATTAAAACTGTTATTAACTCGGCTAATAGTAAATATGAGTGTGAACTCGTTTGACAAATGAAAACGGGATTGCCTATATTAAAAATTCACCATTTCAAAAACAAATTCATATTCGTATTTTGAATGATCACTGTATAAATATATAATGGCGTGAATGAATGATAATCATTTTCATAGCTAGCTAGGCCAGTGATCTCGTTATTGAAATCAAAGGCAGATTTACATTTATTAAGCCTACAAGGCTACTTTTGGTTAAAATAAGGACTGATTTTAAATGGAACAAAATTGGGCTACAGAGACCTTTTCACAATATCATTTACTGTGATTTCTATGGTAACTAACTGCCTTAATTGCTACTATTATGCAAGCAAGCTAAACCTGGTGATCTCAATATTTTGTATTTTTTTATATTATTTTTTATAAGTATTTAATCAAATCGTACCCTATTGTACGACGAAAGTTTCCATTACGACGCTGGTGATTTTCACCAGATGTAACATTACAAAGATATTATCAAGAGCATATTTATAGTAAACTAAATGTCAACAATTTTGATTCTTTTTTTCTTTGATGTATTATTAAATGAAACCATTTATCTGATTATGATTATTGTTGTTTTGCTTTAAATCTATATTCTACGAATCAGAACGATGAGATGATATCTGGCCCTTAGAGTGATAAAATGGTGATCACTCCACTTTAGAATGATGAGCAGGTGATCTCATTCTCTTAGAGTGATGAACATGTTATCTCTCCCTCTAGAATGACGAACAGGTGATTCCCCCTGTTAGTGACAGTGACTATCACCTACTTACAGTTTTAAAGTGATGAGCACGCAATCTCTCGCTTTTGATGTCATGAACATGTGATCTTTAAGAGTGATGAATATGTGATCTCACTATTTTAGAGTAATAAGCAGGTGATTCCCCCTTTTGGAGTGATGAGCCCTTAATCAATACAGTTTAGAGTGATGAAGACGACGTCGAGATCTACCCTTTGTGGGTGAGAAGGTCACTTTTTTTTCTTGAGTGATGAGCACGTTACCCGATTTTCGGTGAGAAGGTTATTTTCCCTTTTGAAGTGATGAGCTGGTGATATTCCCTTTCAGAGTGAAGAGCAAATAATTTTTTTTTATATCCATGAACAAGTGATCTGCTCTTTTAGAGTGATAAACATGTAATCCACCCCTTTTAAGTGATGAACAAACCATGCTCTCTCCCTTTTAGACTAAGTGCACAAAAGTAGGACGTAAAATTCCATTTCATTTCCCTTTTCGAGTGATGAGCCGGTGAGTCCCCCTTTAAGACTGATGATCTACTGGTTATCAGGTTCTGTAACGATGAGCTGGATGAACGGATGATCTTCCCTTTCAGTGTGATGAATAAAGGATCTTCCCATTTAGAGTGATTGTGTAAATCTAGTCTTTTCCAAAGGATAATTAGAATTTAGAAGATCTCCAGAGAGGCGAAAAAGGCACCACAAAATCAGAAAAAAACATACCTCTATAAGAATGATAAACAGAGATATTATAGAAACGTAGAAAACAGATTAATAAAATATTTTATTTACTAGATAAACATTTTAATAATGATTGATATTCTTCTAAAAACTGTTTTTCATCTTCCAGATTTACATCTAAATATTCATCACCTTCTTGTTTAATATCAGAAACCAACTCATTTAACATTTCACTCTCTGCAATTCAAAACATTCAAGGATGAATTAATGTTGACTTGGGATGATTGGGAGCAGATGGGAATTGAACAGAATGATGGATTGGATAGAATAGGCCTATCTAAATGTTGATGTCTTGTCAGATAAAACAAACCAACAAATCACACAATAGAAAATAGAACTTCTCTTGTATCCTCCCTATTCACAAAAGGTCATATCTTATACCATATACAAAATTTAGTGCATAAATTATTTAGTTTTTTTTTTACCATACCTGATTCTGAAGTTGATTCACTAGAACTACAACTAGAACTGGAAGGGGAGGTATTACATGTGATTGTTGGAATAAAGCCATCAGATTGTAAAAGCTCTTCTGCTGCTTTATTATTATCACCATGGTTTTTTATCAAGGCTCTTCTACACATCTCTGGGAGGAATCCCAATACTGTGAGCTGTAAAGACAGAAGACCATTCCATGATGTACTAATGTCTGAAATGTGGTAATAAAGAATTCAACAAGTGACATTTCTGGTGACAACAACATGGTAAAACCCTTCAGTATGTCCAGCATTAGCATTTTTAGGATCAAATTCAAGTCCCTGTTATTGATGTAGGTCCTACCTGGGTAATCATGTCATCAGTTATGTATAGATCCTCATCAGTAGGATCAGGTAAATTTAGTAGCTCTGGTTTATTATTTAATACATCTAGGGCTAAGGTTACATCATTGTTAGCTTGTCTTAACCCCTCAACAGCCGGTCCTTTTCTATATCCCATCTTTAATAACATCTCTAAATTACTTGCATTTAACCTGAAAATTACATGTTTCTATCTTATCAAGACAGTATGTAACACTAGTCATAACCTGGTCATATTTTGTAATTTTGTGACATCCTAATGTCCAAGAAAGATGGAAATTGGCTGGATTAATATAAATTAATAACTTATTGGCAAAATTCCCAAACAAATCTTACCAATCGCCATTAGAAGTCCTTCCATATTGTCTCACTTTCTTCCGATTTTCTCTTTCACCTTTTACCTTTTCCATTATCTCTTCTTTTTCCTTCAGAAAACAAAAGAATAAAAGTTTTATATCAATCATCTTGCTAATGATCTTTCATAGATAATCATCATCAATGTACATGCATAACTATATGAGCAACACAACACATTTTGCAATCAAACTTGCAAGAGCTGAGATATCATTGAAGACATTTTAGGATAATACAATTCTGTTACTAGTATATTTGATGTCATCTTCAATGCAAAATGAATCAGGATAAGTCCTTGAGAGATGTCATGTGCAATGCCTAATAAAAACAGTACCTTTTTCACTTTGATTATATAGTCACATGTCTGTGGTATATTACCATCACAAGCTCTTAATCCTAATCTAGCCTCTCTTTCATTAAATCCCATTGACATAACTACAAATACATGTCATAATATTTTCTAAATTTTCCACATATTGAACAAACTATTTCACATGAAAATTGACATGTTTTTTTTCCTGACTTTACGATCTGATGAAATTGTTTTGCAACACATGTTTTATGTCATATTCAACCAATTAGATGCTCTGTACAATACAAGATTAACCTACAAATAATGAGTATAACTGAGTACAATATTTACCTTGAGTTATTAGTTCAGGATCTACACTTAATCTTTTTATATCATCTTCTGCCTACAATAAAAACAGATTTAGACGTTTTTGGCTGTGTCAACAAATCGTTAAAATCTCCAATAATGTAGACATCTGAAAGTTTCAAGTATAAAAACTGTACAATTCTTACCTGTTTTAGTAAAGTTTTAGCTGTATCAATATTATGTTGGTGAAAGGCAATAATTCCTTGTAGTAAATGTAGCTTCATAAATAACACCATAGCTGTACTGCTTTCACCCTGACATAATAAATAAATTTACTGAACAGATGTAACAAGATTTCTAAGTTATATCAAACTTTCAGATGTCATAAATATTGTATCATTGATATCATGTCAATTACACAAAGAATCTGCCCTCTGAAAATCAGATTTCCCAAACCAAGATTAATTCATTTATAGTCCTGACGACTAACTTCCTGCTTCTGGAGTATCAAAAAATTAACAATAATATCTACCACCCTAACAACTATATTATAAAAGCTACAAAGTCAAATCAAAGAAACAACGATGTTTACAATTTTTCTTATTGTGCACAGCATAGAGCCCAAATATTTAGTCAATTCAGGAGTGGAAAAATCAATTTCATTGCATAATCTAACATCAATGTTCACTAACCTTAACAGCAGTCAGTCTCTCCATATGACTACCATAAGATCTGATTAAACATTCTTCACAAGCTTTTAGCCGTCTTTCTATTGACCGGAAAAATAATAATTAGCAGAAGTCAACAAATATCATTTAAAACTGTTTATAACTAAAAATTTAACAAAAGCACTAAAAAAAGCATTTATTGGATCAAAAACTAAGCTTCTCTGCTAAACATTTTTACCAGCATTTGAAGCTCTCCAGAAGTTACAAGAATGTTGTTTGGTTTATGTGTTGATGTGAGAAAATTAAACTAACGATAATTCATTACAGTCTATACCTGCATCAGGTAGTTGATCTAAATTCTTTAAACATAAATAACACCAAACTATATCTAAACATAGAACAGCATAATTATCTACAGCATCTAGAATACTGGCTCTACACTTTCTGAAATATACATCCAGGCATATCAAAGAGCTGCATACAGTAGTCAGTATGGTTAAACTTTGTCAACTAATCTTTAACTTTTACATCTAGTTGATATGATAAGGTTGTAATTTGCAATCACCATAAAGGTACAGTACACCCTGGTATATAGTAGGTATAGAATAAGCTTAATCAATGACTTCAAAGTTGTCTCATATTTGCAAAACAATTAGCAAATATTATGAAGAATGTTTGACAACATAAAGTTATGATAACGTTCATGAAACTGACAAAATTCAACAGTTAAATCTTAACCATTTGTATCACAATACACGTGTGATAGATATTTAAAAAAATATTTTAAAGCTTATGTAATAGAGAGTTAATTTCCCCAATATTTGACAAGATTATGAAGTCTCCAACAAATATGTCAAAAACTTACTTAAATTCTGTATCAGCCTCTATTAATAATAACAATGCACTGGATATATTCTTTTGTTTCAATAAACTTCGACCCTTTTCATGTAAGGTCATAGCCAAGGTCAAGGCCTACAAAATATTGTGGAAATAATTAAAAACAAACAGCAAATTCTAAGACATAAATTGTTTCAAGAATGTATCTTTTTGAATAATGATTTCATTTTCTAAATTCTCAAGGTCCATAACTCACAAAGGAGATGCATGTGGAAGATTTGGCAATTTCTTTGGAAACATTGTAGGCATGGTTACTTATCTCTTATCTACACTTCATAACTGGCATTTCTAAACTTTTCTAGTATTTCACATAAAAGGCATAAAAAAGATCCTGTTTTAATAAATTCAACATTTTTACCTGTTTTTCTTCCTTAGGTAATTTTAGAGGTCTGCCTGATTGATCTGCTATTTGTACATCATATTTTGTATCATCTGAAATATAGAAATAAACAATTAGATCTAAATATCAATATCTTATTTCACAGTAGATTTCAAGGAGAAACAAATACTCTTGTACATCAAAAAATTCAGCGAGTACTTAAACCACATCATATCATTGATTTCCTAATTTGAAGTAACAAAGCTAAGCAGAAAAATTATCAAAGATAAATTCGTCAAAGCTATTGTTGATTTAATCTAGCACACCAAATAAAATTCTCATCTCTATTGCCTCTACAAGCCAACAAATTTTGACGCGATTTTAGTTTCTAAGTTAAGGGCAATATCTTGTCAAATTCAAACTTAACAATGATCTCATTGTAATACATGATCACACCAAATTTATAAAATCAGATGAAAACTGTAGTCTCTTTAGTGCTAACAAATTTTTACACTTTTTTCTACCAAATGAAGGACAATAACTTGAAAGATCGTTAATTTTAAACTTGACCAAGATCTCATCAATTTAAATGTTCACATCAAATTGTGTTGGTTTTGGACTACCTGAAGAAGTGTGTTTTTAGTCACGAAACGATGAATAAATGGTTTATTTTAACAGAAGTTTTATTATTTAAAGCCTCATATTTTTATCTGTCCTAGCATCATAGTTTTTTACAACTGAGATCACCATTAATTATCTTCATGATTGGTTCTGTTCAATTCTCATTTTTATTTGGAATTTAGACATTATAATGTTGGCGTATATAAAAATGTACAAACCATTAGCAGCTCGAACAGAGAGAAGTTCAGCAGCTTTTCTGGTTTTATTGACATCTTCTACTTGCTTTTCTTTTTGAACAGCTTCTAGTTCAGTGACAGATAATAACACTGTCATAATCTGACTTCCATTCTACAAAACAGAACATTCCAAAAAGTTTAGCTTGTACATGTAAAGAATCCAAAAATATATGTATGAACATTTAGGGACAACACAAAACAGTTCACTTAATTTCATGATAGTTGAAAGTAAAAATGAATATATTTCAGGCCTAGATAGTTTCAATTATCACTTATCATACCCAAACAATAGACTGCTTTGACTAGTATACATTATTATAATGTTGATGGAATCTGATTAAAATTAGGGAGAGAAGTAAATTTGTTCAAGTGGGTTTTTTAAATAGCTTGTACAAATATATGAAAATATGAATGCGAAAGGAATCTCAGAATTTTTATATTTCGAATGAAGTGAGTTGAAAAGAAGAAGAATAGTATATATTCAAACCTTAATTTTCTGTTCTTGTAAAGATTTGCTGTCAGTAATAATTATACCAGCTGATATGAGTTTTATTCTATCTATTGGTATTCCACATAATTCACCCACTTTCTCGCGTAGAATTAAACCTGTTTCTTGTAATTTTAATTTTACTGATACCACTTGTTTTTTACTATTCTAGATTTTATACCAAGAGAAAATTATGGTCATTAACTTGGAGGGAAACAGAAATTAACAAATTTTAAGGTAAAAAACAAATTCACTCATCGTAAATGAGTTCATGTGTTAATACAGTAAACGGAGAGGAAATCATTCACCCCTGACATACAGAAAGAGGGATCTTTACCCAGCGTCTCTTACACAGAGTCAAAATTGTGAGGAAAGATGGGTTGAAAAGAAAAACAATGCCACGATCAAAAACATTAATTACAAGGATGTGTTTGGCTCAATGAACCACTCTGATTCAGATTAATTTGACCTTCTTCCATTTTCTTTTTAAATTTTATTTAATACAAACCTCAGAATGTGATGGAGGTAGTTTTAGTTTTAAAGTGGCAACACCATCTTTATTAAACTCATTCCTTTCAGCTAGTTTCTGGACGGAATGTTGGCGTAAAGTTTCTATAATAGCTGACACTTCTGCTACACCTAACTTCAGGTCTTGTGAATAGCGATTTATCAGATCCTACCATAATAAAACTTATGAGTTAAAAACTAACAAGGAGACAGTTTAGGAAAGTTATCTGACACAACAAGAAACAAAATAAGTTGCATTATTATAATTTGTTAAATTTTCTGATCTAATTATCATTACCAGGAAATCATAAGCTCCAGTCAAAATGAAATATGGGCTGGTCCAATACATTCAATCAAAAGCAGTCCAAGTTTTTCACACTATTTTCTCCCATAAAACAATAGTCAGTTAATGTAAGTAATTATTACAAAATCTGAAATATTTTGTTACAGTATCAAATAGCCTTAACAATGTAAATGCAAAACTCCATTGAAAAATACAAACCTTAGGTTGTTCACCTTTTTCGCCATTTTCAGCTGTGTAAGGTATTAACCATAACTTTATTTGATCTCTATTCAACCTTTCACGAATCAGTTTCTGGTTGTGTTCTTCTTGAAAGGAAGACGCCATTTTTCTCTAAATCGGAAAAATAAGATAAAAGAACAATTTTAGCTGAAAATTGTTTCTTTATCTATTCATCCGAAATATTGTTTGTTGACCATCAAAGCAACTCTGCAAACAAAAAATTACACCAACCCATTTAGGAAAAATCCTGATACCACATTAAGGTAAACAAATGACTATAGTCTCCACAGTATGAATGCTGTACATTTAAAAAGATACATGCATACGGCATTCAAGTTTTATTAATACATCAAACACATCTGTTTGTTTCTCAAAAGCCTACCAAATGGTAGATCTACTTAAAATATCTTAAAGCTTCTTCAACTTTCAAGTTTCAATTAGCAATAGCAAACCTTTTAACTAAAAGTGAGCTCTTTTTAGACTTTTAACTTCTGGTAGGCTACTACTGCAACTGAGTCACACAGATATAGAATAAAAGAAGAAGAAATATATAATACTTTACTCTCTCTACAACATAGAGCTGTTATGATTGCATACCACTACCTGTGACCTATTTGAATGACAGCTGTTCAAAATCCCTTAATCATCAGCTGTGCACTGTATAATTACTTGTAACATTATTATGTTACTATATTTGGTAACTGATGCTTACGTGTAACGTGATGTCCCTTAATACAAACGCCTCGATGCCATCAAAATATTACTTATTATTTACAATTGTGGGAGTTTTAGTTGGCTAATTTCATAATCATGTTTGTGTAAAATTATAGAATTATCAATTTATTGTCTCTAACCTGAACATTTATTTAATTCCTTGTTTACATTTTGTACTTTCACTTTCATGAAAATTAGTTTCGATCAACTGAAAAAACCAAATTGTTTTAACACTGATTTTGAACAAGAGTGTAGCCTAGATAATGTTCAAATAAAAATATTTGTAGAAAGTGGACTGATGTATGTTACATTTCACACTAATAGCATGAAAATTAGAATTTAGTTGATTAACTCAAAGAATGTACGAAACTAATTCAATGGTCTTGTGATAAACCATTTCTTCCTCCTTTAATGTAAATATTTTAATGTTTTTATTGGGAAATTGAGTAATTTGTTAAAGAATAAACTCTCTGGAGTTGTCGAAAGCCAACGGTAACTGATGCGATTTTGTGCTAATTTTGGCAAACTTTGCAGTAGTCTCCGTACTTAAAGTTTCCTTGAGGCAGAGTTGAAAGGTTTGGGGCGGTACTCATTTCAGTCAGGGGAGGTAATTTTTTATATAAAATTTTGGTCCGATATCAGCTGTTCAAATTAAATTCGAGACAGATTTCCTTCTGTGCTAAATGGATTTATCAGGTTGTCCAGCCTTTGTATTATGAGTATCACTTGTCACTTGTCTTTGCAACAATCTATTTTTCCATTTGCATATTAGCAATGGGGATGTCAATATCAGTTTTTCTTTAGCTTTTAGTTAATTTCTGATACACATTCAAATGCTAAAGAAATGTTATTAATTGGCTTTCAAACAATAATAAATAAAAGACAGGTTAGGCCTATCTATGATATATTTATAAGATATAAGTAATGTTATTTGATGTAGGCATGAACAAATAAATGATCAACTACATTTAGAATTGAATTACATCTTCTCTAAAAAATATTTGTCATCATTTCATAGAATGAAAATTACCGGTACTCTGAGAGAATTAGAAGCTGAGGTAGTTCTGAGATAAATCTATCTGTTCTAGAACTAGCCAAAATGGGTACAAAACAGCCATGGGAAGAAACTGCTACCACTCTGACAGAGTTTGCTCCTTTAAGCTCAGAAGTGAAACCTACGAGAAATTTTTTATCCCGACTATGGAAAAGAGGTGACTATAAATTATTTGATCAGTGTAAGCGATTCTTTCACTGTCTGATAAAAAGGTTTAAAATGCTACGATTTGAGTCTAAAATGATTTAGATTGGCAAGACATCAAAGTTTTTGTTCAGAAATGTCAGGCTGTTAAATTTTGTAAAAGTTGATTATGTGGTTTTATGCAAGTGTAAACTGAAATTCTGATTTTCTTCAGATGGATCCGAACAATCTACAAGTTCATCAGCTACAGCAAGTGAAACTTCATCAAGAGAAACGTCCGTTGAACGAAGTGAAAGGAAGAAAGATGGAGATCTCTCAAATATGGATCCACTTATAGGGTCTACTAATACCAGTAATAAGAATGTTAAAGATCTATTGAGTGATGCTGCAAGAGGTAAAATATGTCCTTGAATTTCATACCAAAAACAAAATGGTAAAATTGATAGATAAATTTCTCTGCATTAGTTTTTCAAACATTAGGTCAATTGTATTACACATTTCTACTTTATTGAGCATTTTGGTTGTTTACTATTGAACATTACTTTGATATTTTGATGTGTAAAATATCATGCTGTATGTACTAAAGTTGTTCCTGTATTGTTTTATAGAAAGTGACATTGAATCTGAATCAGGTGACAGTGCCAGTCAATCAGGGGATTATGATGGTCAAAGCTCTGTGAGACGTTCAAGAAATGTGCCAAAACGCACCTTATCAAATGTACTGAGCCGTTTGAGTAATATCATTGACAGAAGTTCAGATAGCTCTGTAAGTTTGTTTTACTGTTATTATAGAGTGAAACTTTTTTCAGTTATCCAAATGTAGGAAGTATAAAACTTATGAGATGAAATGCAGAGTCCAGTGAAGTGTGTGGATAGCAAGGCAGTATATGTTCACATTTTCGAAACATCTAGTGCCTATCTGCACTTTTGTTTGTCCATCATAGACTGTGCACAGCTCATCATTATTTGTGGTATATTTATGTTGCAATAACTCTGTCTCTATCCCATTAACTTTGTGTATTTCAGACACCAACAACATATAGAGATAGTGATTTCAAAAAGTTTTGGATGCCTGATTCTAGCTGTAGAGAGTGTTATGATTGTGGAGATAAGTTTACTACCTTCAGACGACGTCATCATTGCCGTGTGTGTGGTCAGATATTTTGTAGTAAATGTTGTAATCAAGAATTACCTGGTAAAGCTATAGGATATAAAGGTATATAGAGGCTGTTTTGTTAGACATTCATGAAACTTTTTCACATACATGCTGTTTCGATCAATATGTTTTAGTACATGTTTCATTGAGTTTATTGTCAAAGTATTTCTAATTTTGAAATGATAACAAGCTTTATTTTTAAATTATTTGTCATATTTCAATGTAATGCCATATGTTTCTGTTCTCCGACGTGAGATGCTTCTAAAGATAAAAGCATTGTCTTGCTTGTAAGACAGTGTTTGGGATTGTTAAAGAAAATATGCCAAAAAGTTTTCATGGAAAATAAACCTGTTATTTTTTATTCTATTAAATAATGTTTTGGATTTTTTAACTTTTTTCAGGTGGTATAAGAGTATGTACATATTGTTGTAGAGTGGTTTTAAAGTTTGCCCAGAGTTCAGGATCTGAGTATGAGAAAGCTCAACAAGATGATTCCAGCACGTCCCCTAATGATTTTGAATATGGAAGTTCCTCTGATTTCAGTATTTGGTCTCCACTCAGTAAAAGAGCCTCCCTAATTCCTGATGATGCACAGCAGAGGTAAACTTTCTGATTATATATTAAATTGATATGTCTTTAATACTTGATAAGTTGGGGATAAGGTTGTAGTTTAATGCAAAGGGCCATTAATTCAAGTCACAGAAGCTCACTTATTGATATTTTATTTTGTATATTTTTCAGTGTGAGTACTCTAGATGCATCAAGTGTAACAGGATTTAAATCCTTACCATTCGATTTGACGCCTCAGTCAGAATTTTCTATAAGTGATAGTTTACTTAATGAAAGAAAAATGTTGAGTAGGGTAAGTTTTTTTTAACGTGACCATATTTAAAAGGGTATTGTGAGTCCGTCTAACATAAATATAAAATTGTGAATTAGTCCTGGCTTCCAATACTCTAATATATTGCGAATTTCAGTTTGCCAGTAGGGTGGAAAAACTATCCAATTTTCAAAATATTTTCATGATTAACAATTTCAAACTTTTCATAAGGACTATGTTATAAATATTTCAAAATATACCGTGTTACAGCTACAAGCCCTGCCAATGTTATCATGTAGAATTTGGTTTTTGTGAAGCTCTATGAACTTCAATAAATCTTGTTAGGGATTTGAATTATCTCTCAAGGGAGATAATCTATTTAATTATCTTCACCAGGATTCAGTACAATTAAGAGAAATTTGGAGACAAATACAAGATCCATCGACTGGTGTAGATATGCAGAGTCATAGAATCAGATTAAGAACCTACCAAAAATGTGTCGTTGGTAAGGAATTGGTAGATTGGTTATTGGACAATGATAAAGCAGCCAAGAGGTATACATTCGTTTTATTTTCCAAAAGGATAACATAGCTGTGATAGTTACTAATATTTCGAGCTCTCAATTGTCTGTAATAATTTTAGTTATTAATTCTGCTTATGTAAACCTTTAAGATAGGCGTTTTGGAGTTTAAATTACCTCAATTTCTTTGGAAGTGACAACTTAATATTATTATTATAATTTTTTATGAGATTATCATTTTCAAACCCCATGTCAAAATATTCATCTGTTCCCGAGATATTCACTCAGGTGTGTTCAGGAAAACAAAATGGCAAAACCTCCACCATTAAGTCTTCAAACAACCTTTTGTATACTGATCATCCTAACAAAAGCATAAATTACTTTGTAAAATTACGATCGAGAAGATATAGTGGTAGCTATAGTGGAAGTTATTTCCAGAAAGGCTAATAGGTAATCTCAGTATCTAGACCCCCGTTTTACTAAAGTTCATGCCAAAATATTAGACTTGCGATCAACTAACGCAAACTCTAAGGCACCTTTCACTATGAAACTTACTAAGATCTTAGCCGTTAAAGATTTACTCACGTCGTCCACAGCATTGTGTTGTTGAATATACATTTTTATTTCATCAATATACAGAAAAGAAATATATTTCATAAGACTCTCAAGTTCCCTAAAAAGTTTCAAAAGGTCTATTGTGGTGAAAATTTGATAATTTGCAAGGAAAATGGTGGAAAGATTTTGAAGTGTGAAACAACGTCACCTTCACATTTACGATGTCATCTTAACTAATGATTGAAAAAATTTAAAGGCCATAATAGCAAAAATAAGGGAAATTATGCAGGGAAATTGCAAAAAACATCAAATGCTTTGATATTGATAAGTTCTCAAAAACAGAAATTGGCAAGTTTCATATATTCTGAAGCATTTCTTGAGTTAAGAATAAGGTCAGGTTTTGGATTTTTTCTTAAGTAATTTACGTAAGACAGATGTAAGAAAATTTTGGACTTTGAAACATCACTTCAATGGCACTTTAAGACAAGTGAGTGTCATTTATTTATTGATACATGATAGAAAACTTTATTATAACCATGATATTCAATCCCAATGTATTGTAGAGAACAAGGTATAGCTATTGGTCAGGCTTTACTACATGCTGATTATCTTGAAGCGTTGAGTACACAGTACAATATCTTTAAAGATGACTTTACTCTATATAAACCAGGAGAGGTAAGATAATAAGTAGGAATTATATACAATATACAATATCTTTGAAGATGTTGGTTTTATCAGCATGGTACAACCTTTATGATTGGCTCGATAGTGAGACTGTTGCCAGCTTTGCCTTTCTACAATGAGCTGAAATTGAGCTTTATATGTAAAGATGATATCTTTTTATTATATGGAATAATTATCTTGTTAATATATGATATTTTATAATTATTAAAATTATGTTGTTATATGAGTATGTTATATTTGATGTTGTAGTTATCAACATTGATAGAGATGGAATATGAGGCAGAAGATATCAACAGTTCAATTCTAGAGACAAACAGTACTGAACCATCATGGTTAAAAGAAATAGAATTTTATGGTGGAGATATTGATGATTGTAAGTTAATGTAAAGTTTACTCTTTACTATTACTGTGTTTAGTTACACAGGAGATAACTTATTGAGCTTTCTGAAATGAGGCCAAGTGATCTGGAATTAAAAGAGGTGCAGAATTCTGTTATTCTCTGGCTCGATGATGAGGTGATATGTTTTATAATTTGATTAATAATACAGCTTATCTGAAAGTCTTCTGGTTAATTTCAGTCAATATTTCTTGACTCTTATAAAGCTTCTGTTGTTTTTTAAGCCTCAATGTCTGAAGATATGAGAAGTGATTCTGATAGAACCAAAAGTCAATCAGAAACTAGCTCACGTCATATGTTTTATCTGGGTGATCCTTCAGATAGTGGTAGCTTCTCAGGTGACCTACTCAAATGTGAGTATTACATTGTCTTAAATTATTGAGAACGCAATTTTTTTATAATTTTTATAATTACCTTTCAGATTTTCAATGTGTAAATGAGTGGACAGTATAAATTGTTTAAATTTAAAATATAGCACATTTTACACTTCGGTTACATACCATTTCAGTATCATCAATGCCTAGAGATTCCAATGAAGAGCCTGTTCCACGACAAGACTCCTCTAGTGCTGGTTTAACAGAGGAATTTTTAAAAGGTATTATTATTTATTGTTTTTTCTTATCAATTATGGTCAAAATTTATTTCGATCGATCAAGCTATTAAGAGGGTAGGTAAGTAGTGTATCTAAACACTTATCATATTGTTTCAGGAACCTTGTTGACGGAATCTGTGACTGCATCTTCTGATGTCATTTCCTGTCCACATGGGTGGAGAATTGTTGATGAATTAAGAGAAGAAAATGGAGAAAAGTTAGCCTATGATAGATTGAGGTCAGACCTGCTTATTGCCCTTGTATTTTACTATAAAAACTATAAACATGTATTCTATGCTTTCATAGAATTACATACATTTCTAAAAATTTACTGCAAAAAATAAAAAAGCACTTAAAAATTTGTTTATTTCAAAACAATACTCTTTGGGTTTGAAAAAAATTTTTTTTTGTATCAGGTATAGGCCATCCTATTAAGCCATTAATTTTGAATCAGGAAGTAATTTTGTGTGTATTTATAGAACATGTCATACAGAACATTGGAATGGTCTAGCCAAACAGTTATTGAGTCAACGTGGATTGTCATTCAGTTGGGAACCAATAATATTGACGTATGCTACAAAAGTCAGCCATTTTGTTCGTCCTGACATTATAAATGAAGGAGATAATCCAGATATACGTCAATATCTACATGTTAAAAAGGTATGTTATATTTTCTAATCCATGAGCAAGAAAAGTAATAAAAAAAAAAAAATAGCAATGCCATCGTAATACACCCACATTTGTAATGGCAGCTAATTTGTCCGGGAGGTTGACAAGAGTTATCAGTAAATGAATGTTTCTGAGAGTGAAATTTTCATATTTCATGGGTTTTGTTTACAGCTTTTTTATTCAAGTGGGATTAATTAAACATGTCAAGTTTCATTTAATCCATATAGAATTGAATATTTTGAGTGGCAGCAAGTGGCAAATCTTTGTGTTATATATTTACGAACAGACAGATAGACAGACGGACAGACAGACAGACAGACAGACAGGGGCGACGGCTGTATAGGGTTTATCTTTGGGTGATTACAAACACTCACCAAGTTTCGTTAAAATCCATCAAGAAACCAGCTCTCTATAATGTCAACAAACAATCCAATAACAGGGGCAATAACTCATAGTAAATATTTTTCGATTCGTCTGATTTTCAGTAGGGTTCATCCTTGATGATTACAAACACTCACACCAAGTTTCGTCAAAATCAATCAAGAAACCAGCTCTCTCTGACAGACAGACAGGCAGGCAGGCAGGCAGGCAGGCAGGCAGGCAGACAGACATGTGTGGGCGTATAAAAAGTAATAATGTGACATAAATGGTGTAGGGAGAAAATGATGGTATGACTAAACTACAAAAATATCCATCTTTCTCAATATATCTTTGCAGATGTGAGGTATCTAATAGGATCAAAACCCTTGCACCTACAATGTGAAATGTCCCCATTTAACAGGGCTTTTTTTTCTGTGTCTAAACCAGCTGACATCAGTCCAAATAGCTATCAGAGCCTAAAACAAGGATTGCCTTGAAAATTCTAAGGCTAAGTGGTAGGCTATATCTCAATGGAACTGTGCTTGCCGCTCACGATAGCGCTTCATGCCGAACAATCATCAACGTGTACTGAAGAGGCGTTAAATTGATTATTCAATCATCACAAATTTTTGTCTCTCCATACGAACAATGATGAAATATTGACAAAGGTTATTTAATCTATGAGTAGAAAGATTAAAATGTAAAGAAGTATGATAATTGTACTATCAAACAAGATTTTTGAAAAAAAAATTTTACCGGTCACTTTTTGCTGATGCCGGTTTATGTAAATTCTTGAAGGTAGAATTACCTGCCCTTGAGAGGGCGTTGCATGTATTTCCTGTTGATAATTTTCATGAAGGAAATCGTTTTCATGTGGTTAAAATAAAATTAAAATGACAATGAATTAGTTTTTTTTTCAAGTGAAAAATTACTAGAAAGAACAGAAATGGATGAGTTGCCATCACTTGGTTTGAGTTTGGATGAAGCAACATGGTGTGATGGTTGTCAACGTCGTCAACAAGTGATCGACGAACATGAAAAGGAGAAAGCATTGAACTACAAAACGCTGAAACAGAAAATAATTTCGACTGATTTACTGATTAAAAAATTTCGTTCAAAGTGTGAAGAGTATGATCAACAAAGTAAAATGTTAGAGGATGTTACAAGAAAACTTGAGAGAGCCAAAAGGGAAACCGAGACCTTAGACAACCAATTAAAGAATGCCCTTCAACAAATTGAGCCTTTGAAACTCGAAAACAGTTCCTTAAAAACAGCCATGATAAAGAAAGATTCTGAAATTGATATCCTTCAGAATAAAATCACTGCAGCAGACAAGATGAGGGTACAATTTGAAGCATTTGGTCAAGATACTGACAAACTGAAATCTAAGGCTGAAAAGTTAGAGAAAGAAAAGAGGACATTTGACAAGAAGATTGAAAGTGCAGAAACAGCTAAGTCTAAGATGGAAAAAGAGTTGCTTTACTGTAAAGACACAATTAAAACATTAAAACAAGAAAAGAAGATATTTGAAAAGAAGCTTGATAAAGCTCATCAAATTCAGGAAAAACATTTTGAACGTCTTCAAGAAAACAATTTGTTAACAAAATATGACAAACGCATTCGGAATTCTTTTGTGAAACAGCAAAAATGTAGTGATGATGATGTAGATGATTTGATGCCTGTGGAGGAAATTCCATTCAATCCTAACATTAAGGTTGAAGATAACAAATTGTGTTCAGTTATTGAATTAGACTCAATGGTTACAATGAGCCCACTTACTCTGCCAATGTCACCCCTACCTCCAACACCCCAGCCTACTGATAAAGATGACAGTGATATTGACACTTTCAATGAAATATTGGAATCTGAACTTACACAATGTGATGTTTCCCATCTATCGTCTGATTCAGAATTTGAGAAAGTTTCTGACTGTAAAACCACAGTTTGTGATCCACAGTGTGTGAATGAAATTGTCATCAATGTAGAGACTGTGAATGAAAATAATAATGCTACAATCAGATTGAAACCAGGAGTATCAATGGAAAAGATTGTTGTGCCAAATAAAGGATTAGAAATTGATCACTTGCCCATGCAATCTGCTGTAAATGAAGAAACCAAAGAGCATGAGGGAGAACAAAAAGATTCTAGTTCAACTACATCTTCTATTGTCCTTGTAGAATCTAATGCTTATGTGAGTTCAAAACAGCCTTATATGAAAGCTGTTTCAACTGTTCTAGACACTTTAGTTTCTGACAAACTATCCAACAAATTGGCTGATAACTCACCAAGTAGTCGGAATAATGTGGTTCTGGAAAACAAAGAAGTTTTTCTAAATAAACCTTTTTCAAACCAAATAGAAGTCAATGGAAATCAGTTAAATCATAAATCTGGGAAGACTTCAGACGCTGAAGTGGGGTCTACTCCCGAGGAGAAAATAATACATATTTCTTCATATTCCCCATTGAGACTTCATGATGTTGAAAGTGAGTCTACGGTAACACAAAATATGTGTGTTACAGAAGACCAAACTTCCATAAATCTAGAACAAACTAGTCATAATGTTGTTACAGATAATATCCCATTAGATGAGATTTCAGCACCAAAGCATAAGACTGTGCCAGATACTGTTCAGGAAGATAGTACTTTCGAAGAAACTGTTGAAAAAGACAAAGAAGTAACTGGTGATGTGGATAAGGAAAGATATAATGCTGATAAAAAACCTTCTGAAGATCCAGTGACTGAAATCTTAAATGTGGAAGATACTGTAGATGAGACGTTAGATTCATTCATAGATGATAAAGCCTTAATCGAGTTTGTTCCTAACGAACCAATATCTTATAACCCTTTGAATGAAGTCATTGTTATTGATGATGATGATACTCCAATAATTGAGCCAGTACATGAGCATGAGACAAAAAGACAAAGGCCAAGTTTAATTTCGGATCAGACTATTAGTCCTGCTTTTGACATTGATTCAGTCAAGAGAGAAAATCAGACTCTAGAGACTTCAAAAACAAGACAATTTAAAAATGACAAAGAGTTTGAATTTTTTGAAATCAAAGTAAAAAATTCTGTTGTTGACAATGATAAATCTGACACAGTAATGAACTCTGTTTTGCTAAAATCTCCTTTGAAAAATGAATCCAATGATCATCTTGCAGATTCTAATGCCATTGAAGTCTTGAAAATTCCAAAACAGATAAACTCTTCCCCAACTAATATACCATCTGGTATTATAGCTAACTGTGATAAAAACATTGTAATTGAAAAAGAGCCTAGCACTATACCAGATGCACATGACTGTTCTCAGTGTGCATCTACAATGATTCATGCTATGGCAGATCATTCAGATGTGAAGAAGTTGTTTCCAAAAACTAAATCTCTTAGTGACAAATCTGATTGGTTAAGACCAATTAAGATGGAACCACCTAAATGTGTGTCAATGTTAGGCAGTGACCATGAGGCCCCAAAAAACAGTAATTCAGTTGCAAGTATTGCAAATAAAATGAGTTCAGTTAAAACAGTACTACCTGAAACCCAGAAAAGTGACATAGAGAGCGTGCCAAACAAAAAGAATTCCAATTCTGAAAATCCTAGTTTATTCAGTCCTATCAAGATTGAGCCACTTAAAACCTTGTCTGATTTAACTAGTGGAAATGAAATAGAAATAAATGATACAAATCAGCTTAATCAAACTTTAGACTCTCAGGTGAAAATTGAGCCTTCTAATGCAAATGGTATGGATAATTCTCTGATGATGTACCAGCACACTGTATTTAAGCAATCTGAAATAACTCATGAGGCAAAAGACAGTTGTTTGAATGATAATGATGGAGTGAAAGAAGAAAATGTGCTGGTTGTCGCTAGAAAACCTGACATGGTTTCAATAAAGGAAGTGAAGTCTGGTGAGACTGTGATAGTGTCTAATTCAGGAGAAAAATTTGTGACTGATCTCAAGACGAGTACTGCTGCAATAGACACAAATAAGGATGTTTCACATAATGATGATAGTGTGCACAAACATCTTTCAGAGTCGAGTTTGAACACGGACCAGAAATCAGAAAGTGAGTTGGAATCGATATCTGCTGAATTCACTTCAAGTATGAAACGTCAGAAAAGGAAAGCTAAAAAACGAAAGAGGAAAGAAGAGAAAAAGCTCCACCAGTCTGAATTTGTAACAATTCCAACTTTTTCAGAAGCACTTAATGATTCTTCGTTTTCTTTTAAACCCATCATAATGAGTCAGAAGTCTACTGGATTCACTGTCAGTAACTTGCTGGACAAGAGCCAACCTTCTTGCAGCAAAAGTACAAATTCTTCTGAAGACATTTTAGATATTATTTTTAATTCAAATGATTTTTTGCCTAAATTGAATTCTGATACAAAAACTTTGAATGATACTTCTTTATCCAAATCACCGTTTCACTTGATAGACTATTTTAAACCTATTTCTCCCTTGCCACCTTCTCCTGAACCTTTGTTATTCTTAGAAGAAGAGTCTTGTTTGACAACTTTTGATTCAGTGAAAATTGACCATCTTAAACCAAAGAAGTTAAAACTTCAGACATCTTCAACTACAATAGCTAGTCATGTAAAGAAAGTAAAGAAGGAGTCGAACCAACCATTGTCAATTGATCTTGTTAACACAGAAGAAAAGATCTCACTACAAAATGTCGAGAAACAGGATTTCAAATATCATAAACCTGAAATGAAACGCAAATCTAGTGCTGAGGATATTATTTTACCAGTGGAACATTTCAATGAAGATGCTTCTGATCAGCTATTGGGAAAGAAGGCCAGGATCTCACATTGTACAACAACGAATAGAACCAGTGCTATCAGAAAAACACAATTAATACCACCTGTTGTGTTTAATACTGTTCCTTCTATTAAGCACACTACCTCAAAAATACCTGCTGAAATGGAATCTTCCAAAGCAAGCGAAAACCAGACTCTGTTTCGGAGAAGCAGAAGCACAAAAAAGAAGGAAATAAAAATGGAAATCTTTGATGACAAGGATATCTCTGACATTGAAAAACTTTCAGTTGAGATTAAAAAAGAAATTGTGCCAAATGTTTTAGCTACTGAAGAACACCTGCTAATTTCAACTACTGGGTCTACAAAAGTAAAAGTTGAACATCAAACCATTGCTGTAAACAAATTCATTCCTAACTCTGAAGAAATGGAGAAAGACTTAAACAGCTTTATGAAAAGAGGGGTCGAAGAACTAGACAGCTTTTTGGAAAAATATTTTAAAGACCACCAGCTCCCACAATGGTTTAAATTAGTGCAAATTATCCTAAAAACTTTAAAACATGCAAACACCAGCTTACATCCAGAAATATGTAAGAATTCAAAAAATTCTGCTGTTCAACCATTGATATTTGAGTCAGAAACAAACCTTCTGGTTCTTTTACAAAATATTTTTTCAAAATATTCAGAGTGCAGTGACACCATACTTTTGAATATGTTACTGAACAGTGTGATATATGAAAATAGAACTTGCCAATCAAAGGCTGCCATGTGTAGAATATTTATAGGCCTGTGTCGATTAAAAGGCGATTTAGAGCAAGCTCGAGTCTTAGCTTACGAAGTGATTTTTCATTTATGTGTATCAAATCATACAGATGGTTCTACGCTTGTGTTAGCCATTGCTGGTGTGTGGCCACTGATTTTTGATGCCAAATTTCCAGCAAATAATGTCACGACTTCCGTGATGGAACATGTTGTGATGAACATGTGTGCAGAACATAGGTACTCACAAACTAAAAACTTTAATAGTCTGAGTGAACTGTGTCAGTGGCGTCTTGTGTTGCCAGCAGATAATGCTAAAGTTGTCTGTGAAAACATCATTAAGTACTTAAAGATCATTACTGGTTCAGATCCAGAAAATACCAATACAGAGTTCAAGGGAAATGTGTTTGAGGGTGTAGCAGCTTTGAAATTATTATTCAAAATGGAGGATTTCAATTTTTTGTACATACATTTTGTGAATCGGTTCTTGTCTTCTGCTTCCCAGAAATGGTCTGGTAGAGCTGAGGAAGGAGATTTGACACCACAGTATTTAGAGTGTATGCTGAGAGTTGTTTGTGAAATTGACCTTGTGGAAAAAAGACCAGAAATGTCCAGGATAAACAGTATGGTTAAAAACTATCTGATGCCTGTCTTGAATAAACAATCTGCTTTCAAAATGGTGTCATATACAGCTGCAGAAGCCATGATGAAGTTATCCCCCTTTTCTCCTCAGTGTATTTGCAGTTTTCTTCAGTTTTGGTATCGGAAACACAAGGATGAAATCCCAGAAGACATTAAAACAAAGTTACGTCAAACTAGGAAATATTTGTTGGATAATTTTGCCAATTTTAACTGTGCTGAATTTGTGTAATGTAACATATCGTTTTAGTGTGACATGAGGCTTGTTTCTAGAATATATATATTTTTAATGTTGTTGACATTTGTTGTTTTAAGTGAAGTGCTTTCCTTCTAAACTAATAATAACAAAAATTCCCTGATTTGCCTGACATGGAGGAATGTATTTATATTTAAAAAGGTAATCACAATATCACGACTCATGATATATTTACTGGCCCAGAAACAATTTATATTGTTTGACAAGTATTTTTAAAAAGATGTTTCAAAGAGAAATTCAGTTAGATATAATATGGGTATTTCTTGATTCAGTATTTAGAAATACAATACAATAAATAATACAATAATAAACTCTTAGTAATAACAACCTGTTTTTTCAGGTTCTGTTTTAATATTTCTATATTTAGAAATATGTATCAGACTAGCTTTTTACTTTAAAAACATTGTTGCTAAATCTGTTATCTATCTGGATAATTTGCAGTTGTATGTTATTTTTTTTTATTTTTCTATTTCCATTTCTATTACAGATACCAGGTGGTCATAAGAATGAGACTTGTTTATTCCATGGTTTAGTATTTTCTAAGAATATAGCTCATAAGAAAATGAAGAATCGAATTTTAAATCCTCAGATTATGTTGTTAAAGGGTAGTATTGAATACCAACGTGTAGAAAACAAATTTTCTTCTTTAGAACCACAAATATTACAGGTGAGTTCAGTTCTTTCAAATTAATAACAGCATTTGTTCTTTCATTTGAATTTCTTTTATTCGTTGATACCATTTTGTATGTAATCAATTCATGTCATTTGAAAACCAACGAATCTGAAAATATGTCATATTAGTTAAAATATATTTCAAACATTGCAATACGCTTATAACATTTCATTATTAGATAATGAAGCATTAGATGGCTATTTCATTGAAAAAAATGTAGCATTTATCAAGTCAGGTGTTGCCATAGTGCCATAATCTAGTGTTTTTGTGTTTTTTCTGTGAGGGAATCTTTTTTTAGATTCTCCCTTTTTAATGATTCAATTTAAAAGCTCATCACTTTTTTCAGGAGAGAGAATTTTTACGGAACAGTGTATCAAAAATTATCAAGTTTTATCCTAATGTGTTAGTAGTAGAGAAGACTGTGTCCCGATTAGCCCAAGATTTCTTGTTAGATGCAGGAATAACACTGATATTTAATGTTAAACCAGTAAGTAGACATGTATTTATCATTTGCTCAAAATGATTATAGTAACTGTAGAAATTTGTATGATAATTTGATAACTTGGTTACAGGAGATATATCTTAAGATAAAAAGAAATTTCAAAATTCATCTCTTTTTTTAAGTATTTAACTTCATCTAAAGGTGCGACTGATTGGAGATTTTTATCACCTGGTGTTCCCTTGCCAGTTGGCGAAACTCCTGACAAGACTCTAGTCGGCAACAAAATTCTCTGACCAAGACTGTTTGTGTGTCCGCACTTAACAAGTCCAGAATGAACTATTCATGGTGTGTTAATGATGATTTGATATATTTTGTAGAGAGTAATGGAAAGACTAGCCAGGTTTACCCAAGCTGATATTGTACCCTCTATTGATAGTTTAGTTGGCTTACCTCAACTTGGTGTGTGTCACAATTTTAGATCTCAGGCTTATACTCTACCCTCAGGTGAGTGTGACCTTCATTTCAACTGAATATTGAAAAGCTTTTTATGTTAAAAGATGTGGAAATATTCAGATTTCAATTTTTACTGTGGATTGAAATAACTTAAAAGGCTGATCAGCAGTCTTATGAGGGAAAAAAATGTTTTTCTTTGATTCAACCTTCTATGATGGTTTTTCTTGATTTGACACCATCATTTAAAAGAGAAAGAATAAGGCCTTGTAAACTAAACTTGAATGTAAAACTGGTTACAGGTGAAAGTAAGACAGTGATAGTATTTGATGGATGTGCTACACATCTTGGTTGTACGGTACTTCTGCGAGGTTCATTAATTACTGAACTACAGAAGGTATGATTCCAATTTCAATTTATTTTTAATTATTTAATGTTTTTGATTAATAAAGGACAAATTGTTAAGATTAAAAATGATTTGTTGCCTTCATTTATGTTTTTGTCTATGAATACAAAATGATGAAAAAAAACTGGTTATAACAAAAAAATATTTGATTATTTTGATGAAACAAAAGTTTTCTGATCTATTGTTCATTCTATATTCAGGTGAAAGAGATAGTACAGTTCATGAGTTATTGTTCCTATAATTCACTATTAGAGATTTCATATTGTATGGATGAATTCGCTCTCCTACCAGAAGATAAGGACATTGATATTGAACATGAATACAAATATCCAAATCAGCTTACCGTTCCAAAACATAGTGAATCAGACAGCTCCTCAGAAACAATCAATATTGAAAATACAACAACTTCAGCAGTATCTGTAACTGTTGACAGTGAGTCTAGCCCAGTGAAAAAAACTATGCAAATTTCATTGAAATCTGTTGGTACTGAGGAACCATCCAAAATTGATAATTCCAAGGAAAATAAGCCTCCTGTAAAGACTGAGCCAGATAAATCAAAAACTGAAATTAAAAGACAGTCTTCTGCAGCACTTGTTGAGCTAACAGATGAAAGTGACCCTTTGAAGCGTTATCAAAAGAGCCAAGACGACTCAATTTTTCTAAGTCGTCTGTCATTAAAAGAACAAAAACACTCCAGTCACAGCAAGCTTAAAAAAATTTTACATGATACAATTCTGTCAGTTTCACCATATCATAAGTATGAGGTGCCATATTTGGAATCAGATGTTGGAATGAAATGTCTCTCGAGAAAGTTTCTTCCTGAAGAAATTTATTGGTCCAATTTGTTTGAGGAAAATCCAAGCAGACGCACAAGGTCAAAAGGTCATGAAGGAGAGATGAATGGTGTTATTTCTAATAATAAAAGAAATCTTCAAATGGCAGATCCACATCCATTTATCACTTGTAAAATGACTGCACCTTTAACAGAGCAAAGCACTCAAGCCATGTTAGCTGATTTCCGAGCGCGAGGTGGTAGGGTCAAGGTCACAAAAAATTCAGACCTCTGGGCCCACCATACTACTACTAAGAAAGATTCTGATCAAGCAAAAAACTCAACATCAACGACTGATAAGGTAAGAAAATGAATTTTCAGAAATTGATTACCGGTAGAACTAGAACTGTGGACGTTTCCCATGCAGTGCATATCAGACCTGATACATTGGTGAAATTAAAGTCATAGCAGGATTATTTACCAAAAAGAAATGCATGTTGAAATTCGTTAGTAAAAACCATCTATGTAGTGAAAAGATGCATGAAATTGATAACATTCGGTAGTAAAAAAATCAATTATCAAATAGCTGTAAAACCGATATATTTTCTTCTGGACTAAAGATCAATAAAGGTTAGATAAAAGAGATATGAGCCTTTAAAGTTATAAAAATGGATGCTGTTGGCTAAGTATATCTCGGACATCAAAGATCAAAGTATGAATGGACATTCTGGATCAATGACCTTTGACCTTGCAAAGTGTTCAAAATGTTCTACAATTATTAGATCATGAGATATTCGTTGTTATACATTAAAAGTTTGAGATTATAAGGCAAAAACCAAATTACACACAGTTACATAAAGCATTTGTGACACAATATTGTATGGTTAAAGGAAAAAAGATTTTTTGAGTTACTGTTGTTTTATTGCAGATTGATTGTTTAGACCCAGTTAATCATCAGAAAATATCAGTTTTATTCAGTAATTTCTCTCCCAAATCTTTTAATTTTCCTAATCATTGTGTATTGCCTTGGTAAGTCTGCATAATATTTTATAGTTGTATGAAAAACCACTAATTTTCTGTGATGAGATAGATAATTTATAATTATTCTATAATAAAAGACAAGTGAAATATGATGGCCATGCTGAAATGTTGAAAAGTTGGTTGATGTTAAATAAAGAGATATGATCATGTTTGAGATATTTTTATAAATATGAAGTAGCCGTCACCTTGTATTAGTAGTATTCTTTGGAATATTCGCTTATCTTGAAGTCTATTTTGTAGGATTGTAACAATGGAATTTTATGGTAATAATGATATTTCACTGGGAGCTTTCTTACAGAGATTCTGTTTTAGGTAAGCTAATATATTATGTATATATATATATATATATATATATATATATATAAAAATCCAAATTTTACCTTGTCTTTGTGAATAGAGAATCTTACCTGCAATATATAAAAGGCCATTCCTACTGTCATATTTCTGCTTTTATGGAATATTTTGATCTAAAGGGCTGGAATTGAGCCTATTTTTCTAAGTAGTATTTAGTAGTATTTGTAGTTATAACAATAAGTTTATCAATATGATATGTTTTAGAGAGTCGTATATGTGCCCATCATCTACCTGTGAAACGTCTATATTAGATCATGTACGAAGATTTAGTCATGGTAAAGGTTGCATTAATATCATATTAAAAAGATTAGAAACAGAAATACCTGGTGGACAAAGTAACATCTTAATGTGGAGCTGGTGTAGAAAGTGTAAACAGGTAGGCAGACCAAACTGAAGCCAACATACATCCTGACATATAGGATTAGACCAGATACAAATTCTAAGTATCATGGCCTTGAGTTTTTAAACTTCACATCATATTTCTGGGTCATATTACTGTCTTGTTTTATCAATAATGGATATACTTGGATATGATTCTTTATTGAAAGGAATTGTAAAATTTTCTTACTGTAATTGTTCTTTCTACAGTTGAAAACTTTCTTAATTCCTGCATAAACAGTGATAGAATGTATTTTATTTTAAAATAAACAAGTTATTGGAAAGTTTCCATCATGGCATACTCTTCTACTTTCTTTTAATCTCTGTGTAGAAATAGAGACAATATACCTGGAACTATTCCATTTATTTTCAGGTGACACCTGTTGTACCTATCAGTGCAGACACTTGGAGTTTATCATTTGCCAAATTTCTGGAATTGCGTTTCTATGGCAACCAGTTCATGCGCCGGGCTAGTGCTGAAGAATGTCCTCATTCCTTACATTATGAACATAATCAGTATTTTGGACATCAAGATATCCTTGTATCATTTAAGTAAGTAACCACTCAATATACATTACCTGTTTAGGTTGAACAAGTTGAAGAAACTGCATGTTGTTAGATTATTATTTCTATCAGTGATCTGATGCAATATATTTTTGTTCGTTGAAGAAAAAAAAATTGCTTAGAAAACAAGTGTTCCTTTGCTACAATAGAATTAGTGATGGAAGAACAGAACTTATTATCAAAAAGGCTGTGGCTATTCGCACTGCGACGGTACAAAAAAGAAAGCCATTAAAAAACATAAGGCCATCCCTACCTTACTTTAACAAAGTCACTTAAATATCATTCATGACAATCAAAATGGCTTCACGCTTTGAAAAAAAATCTCTGAATGTGACGGTACAAATAGCCAGTGCATATTTAAAAAAAAAGGGTTATTGAACCTTTTAGGTACACAGAAATTGCTCTGAAAGAGTTAGCTTTACCATCAATAGTAATAGATATTAAAACACCCAAGTTAAATGCTGATATTGTTAAAGACAAAGTACTTCTCTTAACAAATAGGTAAGGATATTTGAATCAAAACTACAGTTTTATACTATACTAAATGATATCTCTTGATGACTTGTGCTATAAATCAAGATTCAAATTGATGCTCTTTAGTTGTTTTTCAAATATGTGATGGGAGCAAAACAAATATTTGAGAATTTTACTTTTAGGAGCATGGAGCGTTACTCTGAAATTCTTGAATGTACTCTTCACATCAAGTCAGAAATACAGAGTGAAAGCTCTGCAAGAACTCTGTCAGAATTTGTCACAGAGCAGCAGAAAGAAAAATCACAATTGAGAGAGTTGGCCACCCGAATTCAAGAGAAAATTGAAGAGATAGGTAATAAAGAAATGACAACTTCGCCTTTAAAAGAAGCTATAGGTTATGATTATTTCTTATTTTCCTTTTTTACAAGTCAACATAATATGTGGTTATATATTGTTGTGTTGGCAACATAACATAAGCTGTTATCATTTTGACATAAATGAAAAAGCAATTGTTGCCCAATTGGGCATAGGTATTGTTAAACTTCAGTTTAATACACCATAATAAATATAAACAATTCAATTCTTCCCACTGTCTATTATCAAGTGATAATCTACATACTCATCAACACATCATGTTTACGCTAGACACATTGTAAGTCAATATTTGGGTGAGACTAAACACTGATATGTATACCTATTGTGGGCATGCCTCAGCCTTAACATGGTAATATCAACAGATAGTATACTTTTGATGTATAAACTACCAAATTTTAGTGAAAACATACTGGCTAAATGTATCACAGAATTTATAGAATTCAATTTGTTTGTTATAGATGGCCCTGACATAACCTTAAGTGAAATAAATGATGATATTATCAGATTAAAAAGATTGACATCAGAAGCTGTTTTCAGGTGGAACTCTAGGTAGGTCAAAGATTAACATATTTTGTTTTCAGATTTAGTTCATTTTATACGAGATAAGAATGGGCGAGGCGACCAGTTATCCCTAGTTATCAGTGACTAGTTTCGTACTTGGGTGTACTCTTCAGACTGATTAATAAAACTCACTCTTCGGGGTTCTATTTATACTGTTCAGATAGCGGGGTGTCTAACGGGGTTTAACGGGGTTGCTTTTTAACGGGGTTAGTTTTAACGGGGTCTAAAGACCGGAGTTAGTTAACGGGGTTTGTTTTACCGGGGTTTAAAGGGGTTAGTTCTACCGGGGTTAACGGGGTCTGTTTTTACCGGAGTTTCTTTTAACGGGGTTACCGGGGTGGATTTTATACCGGGGTTGATTTGAGCCAAGGATGCCGGTGTTTTGCGGGCTTAATTGGATCCAGTGCAGGGGAAGGGATGAAGTACCTAGAATAGGCTGTCTGGGTTAAGACAGTAGAAGAAACCCCACTCTCAAAGATCTCCTCACCTCAGCCACTATCCATAAACCTACTCCACAACCCCAAGCAAGTGGGAAAACTTACAACTACCTTGATACAGATTGTAACATCTACAACTGCACTTATTGCAACATGCTTAAGCTCAAAAAAACGTTTTGTTCCACCACCACTGGGAAAACTTACAACTCCAACAAAACCTGGACCTGCACGAGTAGAAACCTCATTTACCTCCTCACATGCAATTTATGTCACAAACAATATGTTGGCGAGACGAAAAGAATGTTCCGCATTAGGCTGAAAGAACACTTCGCTGATATCACCCACAAGAGGGACACTCCAGTCGCCTCTCACTTCCGCCTACCGAGACACTCGAGTCGAAACCTCGACTATCAAAGCATTAAACAACTCGGGACCAACCCGGACCTCACACAATCCACAGCCAACCGGCGCTCCGTTGAACTTCACTGGATAATTAGACTTAAAAGCTTCCAACCACACGGGATCAATGACAAAATCTAAACTTGGACACCCCCCCTTTTTTCCTTTTGTTTAGTTCATTTTATTTGTTCAAGGTTTAATTCTTATAAACTTTGAATACTTGTTGATTCTTGACAAATTTTTTAGCAATCGATATACCCTGAATATCTTTAAACCATGTAACATGAACATTTTCTAATTTAAGAATTCAAGATTTTTTAAGTTATCAACAGAAGAAGCAACCTAGACCACTAAGTGCTACTAGAAAAGATAAAGAAAGTTTGGAAGAGGTAGGTCACATTTATCTATTCCTAGTAGAATAATATGCTAAAGTTGCCTCTTTCCAAAATATACAATTTTTTGCAGCAATTGGCAGACTGATGAAATCTTCGTTGTGTTTTTGTTTCAGGTTGATAGACATTCTCCTCGCCTTACATCCTCAACTTACTCTTCAGGAGAATCGAATCAACCAGTCATTTCTACCATATCAAGCCTTGTAAATAATTCTGAGACAGGTGATCCTCCGGAACCTGTATATCAGTTTGATGTACCAATTTCTAGAGGCGATACAAATTTAGGAAACACAGAAAAACATCTTCTAACAGAGAAAAACTCTCCAAATTTATTAGAGAAATCCAATTTTCTGTCTGGAAAAACCAACAATATTTCTGCAGAAAAAGCAAGTATTCCAACTGAAAAATTGAGAAACAAAAAAGATCTTTCAAATGAGCGAACGCATGTGCCTGACAAATTAGGTATTCCTGTTGAGAAGCCAAAGGCCCAAGGTGTAGAAAAATTACTGACAGCTGCTGATAGGCTGCATGTTCCTAATGATAAAACAAGTCTGACCTCACACAAATCATCAGATAAACTTTCCATCCCTGATTCAGGTAAAATAGATTTTCTTTATACAAAAACTGGTGAAATATTATGACCTCTCTATATAGGAATTGCTCTTCGTGTTTTCAACCATTAAAGAATGTTTATATATCAGCATATTCTTTTATGATCAAGTCATTGATTTATTTTGAAATTTACAAAAAAAAAGGAATTGCAAATTCAGTGAAAAGATTATGAAAAAGCCACATTCCTTAATTTATATTTTACCATGTTGTGGTTTTTTTTTTTTTAGATGATTCTATAGATGGTCGCTCAGGAGATAGAAGAGCTGCAGTTAAAAGAGCCTTGATGTTTTGGCAGGGTCCGGCTTTCCAGCCACTAGTTCTACCATAGTAAGTTTTTGTAAATTTGTAAATTTACTGCTGTTGGAATAATCCTCACTTTTGTTTTTCGACACAGTGTTTGACAACTAATCAAACACCTAATGGCACTCTGCTTTTGATTAAATGAAGTTACTTCCACTGTTAGTGATATTATTAATTTTAAAAATACAAATTATTTTCTTATTTTCAGTGATGCTTCCGAGCACCATTTATTACCTCCTTGTGAAAGAGTGCCAGTTGTAGTATATGATAATGAACCGAGTTCTATTATAGCCTATGCTTTGAGGTAACATTTTTTATATTTCCAAACTTGTCATCATTGGAATTGCGTATCAAAAATTTGAACCTTTTGACAACATAGGTTGATCTCCATTTTGTCCATTGTCAATAACCTTGTTTGTTTTCTATTTCAGTTCCAGTGATTATAATAACAAACTAAAAGAAATACAGAATAGTTTACGCTTGTCTAAAGAGGTGGATCTGAATGGGTAAATCGTTTTCCACTCAGACAGTTATCTGAAGCCAAAATAAATATAAATGAAATTGTCTAAATATTGCCTTTATTAACTAACCTCAACTTCGGCCATCAGCACCTAATTCAAAGTACCTTAAACAATAGAAATTTTTATTTTCTAGAGAACGTGACTTTTACATTTAAATCTGAAATGTAACGGAAAGCTAATATCCAAGAAATAGAAAATGAAGAAAGTTCTAAAAGGGAATAATTTATGGGCAAATTGGGAGGGGGCAATGTAGGAAGATACCCATAATAATAGACATTAGTTGTATAGAATGTACTTTGTGCATATTAAGTAAGTCTTTTAAAACTCTTTATCTAATAGTGTAATCTTGTAATTTTGTAATCTTTATGTTTTTCAGAACCAGCTCTGAAGGACTAAATACAACTGATTTACAAGGTATAATTTGTCTGCATGCACTATAACCTTTCTAATCCATACTGATTTCATTCTTTTTTTTAAATGTGGTGGGTTTTGGTATTTAATGCTTTTCTTGAATTTAATTTGCACTCATAATTTTGAATAAAACAATGTTGAATATTTTTTATGTTCCTTCAATTACAGACAAAATTATTCCTTTAGATAAAACTAAACAGTTTATGTTATGATTGAGAGAGATAATGTTAGGTATTGAAAGGATCATGTTAGGTATTGAAAGGATCATGTTAGGTATTGAAAGGATCATGTTAGGTATTGAAAGGATCATGTTAGGTAATGAAGGTATTTTGTGTATTACTGATGATAATGATTTTGTTTGAAGGAGTCATGTTAAATATGGATCCATGTTGTCCTAATGAGATCAAAAACATTGTTCATTATGGTTTAAAAGATTATCACAGTAAAAAAAGGAATGATTTTGTCTACATCATTATTCTTTCCTATCATACCTTATTTTTCTATCCCATCACTTGTAGGTAAAAGAACTGCTGGTGGGGTACTATCTTTCTTCCGTGGTGCTAACACTGTACCTAAAGATGTTAATGTACTAGCCCGTCCTGGTGTTTCACTGGATAGCGTTCGATATAATCCACAATTAGACTCGGACAGTGTTGAAGGTACCACCTTAATTCTGGATCAAATTAGATGTAGAACTGTAACATCAGATGCATGTATAAAATCTAGGTAGTTCCTGAATTGACCATCATAGAGTCATATCATTGTCTGTGATTAAAGTTAGGCTTATACGAGAGTCAAAATAATACTTTCATGGCATGATGTTTCCTTTAACCTATTGTTATCTCAATTGATTGCAGATAGTATCCATGCCTTTACCAACCGGTTTATTTTGAAACTGAGATATGACCTACTACATTTCTGGCATTTACAAATCAAACTGCTGTTATACCTCTTTTTGATATTATTTTGCTATTTAAATTTATGATTTTTTCCCTTTTTTTTAACATTAAAATCCACCCTTAACCATTCCCAAATATTAATTTCTAATAAAAATTTTCCTATTATCTGAATAAAGTAAAAAGTTTTTGAATGAATTTTTTCCAATTATTTTTAATGAGAATTGGAATAGCAGCCTCAAAATACTACTGTTAGTCTTAGAATGTCTTTGCATTGATAAAAATTGGTTTCTTTTCAAAAGATTATATCAACACAAAGACATTCTAAGACTAAACTTTTGAGTACTATTTTGAGGTTGCTATTTCAACAAAAAATATCGAAAAGATCAAAAAAACTTTTGATTTGCTCATACTATAGGTAATGTGTATGCCCAGGTTAAGACCATATGCTTACAGATGGCCTTGTTTTATTGATCAATTATAAAATCCATTTGGATATTTGATATATAGAACTGTAAAATAATCTCCCATCCTAATTACATGATTAATTAGTCATAATAATGATATATTGTTTGTGTTGTTTTCATAGGTGATAATGATTCTGACTCATCCTCTACACTGCCTGGAACAAGCAATTCTGAAAACCTGACTAAACCAACTGTGAAACAGTCACTAGGTCCACATATTGAAATGCGTAAGTTGATATAATTTTTCTGAGGCTTTTTAATTTGAAACTTGATGTCAACAGGTGTTGTTCAATAGGAAGTAGAACCATTGGTCCAGACTCCCTTTAATATAGTCAAATAAACTCTGCTGACAAGAAACATCTCATATTGGTTTACTATTTCAGAATTTAGTGATAGTCTAACAAGGTTTTATTGTCGGATATATTTTGCTGAGCAGTTTAGAAAGATACGGAAAGTGATATTCCCTTCAGGGGAAGATATGTTAGTACAAGTTTTCTTTCGTATCAAATTTTTGTGTCTGATTAGCTTCTAAATGCTTTAATTGAATTATGATATCGTTAAAGGGATAGATCTGCCGTTTTGGGGGTTGATTTAAGTATTGTATATATATGCAAATAGTCTTTAGAAGTACTACACAGGCACGAAAATCACATAATTCCTTTGAAAGTACTTAACCATTTCTATATATATCTTTCTACATATCACAGAGCATCGTAAATTGACGAGTCGTCATTTTAACATTCAAACTGGGATAATTCTGGACCCACATGGATTTGAAGGCTCAAATTTCGATGTTCGACACTATTACTGATTTGCTTAGCTGAACTGAACAATTCCAGTTTCTGAGACTAAAGTATGATTTGTCCAAAAAATGGTGCAGCTGTCCCTTTGATATTGTCCCGTATCTAGGGCAAAAGTATGCATCCACCAAACAGAAGTAACTGGCATTATAACAGCTGTCATTGAAAGCTATAGTAGATAGATAGTGGATTGCATTGATTGAAGTTGTCATGTTATTTCAGGTTTATACGCTCTCTCAGTAGATGTAAATTATGGGAAGCTAAGGGAGGTAAATCAGGATCAACATTCTGTAAAACTGATGGTGAGTATTGGTTGAAATCTGTATGCTAGGGAAGGGTGATATTGGGTCAAGTGAATAGAATACAGTGTAGCATAAATTTACTGCATTCTCATATTTTATGAGGGTACATTAAAAAGTTTTAGAATTGTTAGACTTGAGGTTATCATTATTTATGAGCCACCAATTATATGAAAGCTGTCAATATTTCAGATGACAGGTTCATATTAAAACAGATGTCAGGAATGGAGGTTGAATCTTTTGAGAAATTTGGTCCACAATACTTTAATTATATCACTACAACAGCTAACGAAAAGGTTAGAGCATGTATAATATCAATACTAATACATCATATTTCCTTATTTTAATGAAAATATTTTAGAGGTTATTTTATTAAGTTACTGTTCCACTATCCAACCTTTTCAGTGCTTAAATTATTGCCAGTACATTTAAAATGTTTTTGACATATTTTTATTGTGTGATATGTCCTGTATTGTTATGTGGTTAAATACTATCTTATATCAGAATTATTCTATTTATTTCAGAGACCGATAACATTAGCTAAAATAGTGGGAGTGTTTAGAATAGGTTTCAGAAATACTCTTACTAATTCAGCTAATAAACAGGATCTGTTGGTGGTTGAAAATCTCTTTTATAATCGTAAAATATCTCAGGTGAGTGTTTTTTTTGAAAATCTCTTTAATAATCATAAAATATCTCAGGAGAGTATGTTAATTGAAATCTCTTTTATAATCGTAAAATATATCTTACAATTGCTGGCCAAAGCCTAAGTGGAATATCTCAATAGTGTTCCAACTATAAGGGCTAGCCCAGGCAACACTCTTAAAAATGATATATTTATTTGAGCTTTATCAGCTGGTTAGGTATATCTTATGACTGCCAAATATCTCTTACAAAATATCACTTCCAACTCTTGTTTTTGTAGAAATTTGATCTGAAAGGATCCATGAGAAACCGGCTAGTAAATACTTCAGGGAAAAGAGAAGAGGAACTCGTTCTTTTAGATGAAAACCTACTCAAATGTAATTATTCATTTTTATATACCAACATAGAAATGTGGACGTATATTGCCGTCATGTCTGTCTGTACACCCATCCGTTTACATTTTTTGTAAACATTAATAGAGACTACAGTGTTTATCCTATTTGAATGAAACTTGGTATGTATATATGGATATATTGATGAGATCTCTTTCAAGGGCATTATTGCCCTTGATTTTGTAAAAACTAGTCAAATATGACTTGTAAACATGTTACAGTTTTTACCTCATCTTGATGAAACTTAGTGTGCATGTATATATTGTTTAAATCTCTGTCAAGTTCTCATTTGGCTCATTTTGGATAACGGTTTTTGATTTATTGCCCTTGATGTAATAAAAAACCTGTCAAATTTAGCTTATAAACATAATCTTGCTTGAGTTTTTATCCAGTCTGAATGAAATTTGGTACTTGGATCGAAGATGGCTCATTTTGAATGAACGGTTTTGAGTTATTGCCCTTGACTAAGTAAATATACGCCAAATGAGGCTTGTAAAATTGATAGGGGCTACAGTTTTTATCTGATCTTAATGTTCTTAATTTCAAGTTCGAATTTGAACATCAATGTTTTTGAACTACAAATCATTAAAGCTTGAAATGAAGAAAATTGTTGTTGGTGCATATTCTACAGATGTAAAAGTGAAAACTTTGACTCTTTTATAGTATCAATACTTGTCTAATCAGCTTTGTCTATACACTCAACAAACAACACTAGTAAACTCCTTTTATCAATATAATCATAATTGATTTTATTTCAGTGAGTGTTGATTCTCCACTATATATTAGGCCCCATTCTAAAACAGTATTAAAAACAGCTATAACATCTGATTCCCAGTTCCTATCTAATAATCTAGTCATGGATTATTCTTTGATAGTTGGTTTAGATGAGATCAACCAGGAACTAGTAGTTGGTATTATAGGTTAGTAATATTATTATATTGAACTGAACAATTGTGAAAATTTAAAGTACTTGTCTATAAAGCATGAACCTTAATTATGAAATATTTATAAGATATTACCTGAAATGCTAACTCTAAATTTTTATTGTTTTTAATTTCCAAAAGAAATATTTTCCATTGAAAACCAGAAAATCTAATATCCAAAGTATTGGGTTTGGTGATTCCACTAAATTCCCTGATAGGGGAATTATTGGTCACAAGCATTTTGAAGAAAATCATGTTCCAAAAATTGTTTAATTGGTTTTTGATACAGATCAGAGTATTTTCCTAATTTTCAGATTACATCCGAACGTTTACATGGGATAAAAAATTAGAAATGGTATTTAAATCATCAGGTTTGATGGGTGGCCATGGTAAGTTATTGATAGCACATAATCTAATCATTTCTAGTGGGCAATGTTAGTGTAACCATCAATTAGTAATCTTTCTTCATTATTCCAGTGAAGTTAGTTGTACTTGGGTACACGAGCAGCTGCCAGATAGGATTTGCAAAAGTCTAAGTTGGTATTGATGAAAAAAATTGTTTCTCTTGTCTTTCTTGTTGAAAATCCAAGGCCCCCAGAGTTCCAGTCTACTTGAACATCTATATGGTAATCAAGGAGAGGATTCCCTTTTCTTGTCTACTTAACCTGAGAGCTGCAAGCTCAGTGCCTCAGTACTAGCTTTATCAATAAGACTTGCAGGAATATGTCAACTCTGAAGATTTCTAATTGTTTTGTGTATTATACAGGTAAAATGCCTACTGTAGTATCACCTCAGTTATATCGTAGTAGATTCCTGGAAGCTATGGAGAGGTATTTCCTTCATGTACCAGACCAATGGAGTGGGCTAGGAAAAGGTGAAATTTAACATTTATACTGAAACTTATGAGTTGAACTGCGCAGGTAGTCAAAGATGTATTATTATGAGATGATGAATATTAATGATCTTCGTTCAATTGTGACTTTTATTTCATATTTTCAATGTGTATGAATTGGGAATCCCTAATGTTCCCTTCAGTAAATTGATTCAAAAATTTTGTTCCAGATTTTCCAGGTCCAAGTGAGAAAACTACAGCAACCGAAGAGGAGAAAAAATAAAATAATACTTTATGCTTTATAATGATACAATATCTGAATATGCCTATATCTTGGTGCTTACTACTAGTTATATAGATATATTTCATTCTGTTTATCATTTTAATGGCTGAAAATTCTAATGAATTCCTCTATCGCAAAGCTTAATGTGTCATATCAACATGCAATGAATCAAAAATCTCTTATTATTGAGTTAATTACTGACAGTAAAACAATGGTCATGTTTTCTTGAACCACTAGAAGAGCCTGTCCCTGTCAGAATTTGCTATCTTCAAGAAATCTGACCAATCAATGTTCTTAGTACTGTTTGTCTTTGTTTGTTAGAATTCATAATCAATTAAGGCGATTATCCAATCATATAAGGTATAAATTGTGCACTATTTTGGTTGCTTAAAGCCAAGCCAACAGATTTTTTTCTGGTATCATGAGTTTTTATCAAGATCTGAATCTTGGAAATATTCTGAAAATTTTGTAATGGAAAGCAAATGATTATAATCAAGAAATGTTATATCATTTGACAGTACAGAGGTGACTTGAAAGATTTCAGCTTGACCTTAAATGTAGACTTAATGTGCAATATTACCTATTTATGAAAACTATTTCAATCATCCCTCACTAACTTACAGTGAGATTCTTTCATAGAATATTACTGTGATATAAATAGCAGTATTTGTGTGTAAGCCAACAAAGATGCCTATAAATATAAACTAAAGTGGTTTAGTTTTGTTTGTGGGTAGAAGTAATGGTCCATGGTTACTAAGATCATCATTTTGTGATGTGAATGATCTCATGTGTAAAAAATCTCATAGATGATATTAATGTGACTTGTCTCCAATGTTTATTAGAGTAACTATAATAGTATATAATTAACAACTAGTCTACAGTATTCATTTTCATCAGACTATTATTATTTTGTGTATGGTAATGATGATATAGTAAATTTGTTATTGTGTTACTGGCTATATCATGTTTTTGTACATATATTTTTGTTATTTGCTTAGGTTGTTATTGTTATCATGTAAATTGTATATATATTTGTAAAGTTTATATCACAAGGTCTTTCACAAATAAATGATATAAATCTATTGATTTATTAATGTAGAACATAATTTGTATTATGATATAGATAAAAGATTTGATATTGGTAATTGTCACAACATATAATTGAAGACTATTATAGAAAAGCTGTATTGAACCTGTTTTCTATGTAATTGGAAATGCGCCATTTATGGAAAGTGAAACCCAAAGAGTAATATATCAAGAAACAGGCTGCACATGACACGCTTAAAGGGACAACCAGATGACAATAGCATAATGATATGTTATCAACCCCCCACACCCCCTTACACATACTACTGGATTTTTCTCACTTTATTCGATTTATCGTAAGGGTAGGCCTATTTAGCGCTCTGATTTTCACTTAACATTCAGTTTCTTCCATTCCATTAATACTTAGCAATATAAGACTAAAGATTTTATATCCATTCATTCCGTTAATTGTTGAGTGAAATACACTTCAAAATAACTTAGAGGAAATGAGAGGAATAGGTTTGGAAGAACTCTTTCAGGAGGAATGAACTGACTCAGGTTGAGAAGAACTGACCCAAATAACGTGTCCCTCAAAACCATGGCTTGTATTTCCAAATAAAAAACATGCCTCTGTTCAAAGGTAGGCCTAGTTACTGATTTTAAATCTATGCAAAGAAATTGACTGCTAGGTTAGGTGTTTTGAGAACTAATGGCATTATTTTATAGTTTCATAAAATATAGGATTAAAAAGTTTTTCTGAAATATGTTTTAATAGGTCTAAACCAAAAATAGCACTTTATGTAAATATCAGTTGCAAATAGAATAATTTACAATATCATAATGAACAATTTACATCCAATAACAAACAACACAAAAAGTGGGATTGTGACAGGAATATAATATAGTAATTGAATTATAATTTTTACCATTCAGTCTTGCATTGTGTTTATTACGCCAATTGCTCAAACAACCTTTAGTAATGTGTCCCATGTTTGGACTGGTCCCAGATTTGCACAGTAAGCATTGTTTCCTATTTCAGTCTTCAGAATTTACATTGTTGTAATTTATCTTTGCACCCAGCGAAGAAAAATTATAGTACCATTTCAATTTAATCTTTATTACTCGAATTGATAATTGATGTAAAAGAAGTATGTTCTATTCTTGTGACCTTGGCCAGTGCTTCTAACACAAAACAAAACAAAAATCTTTGCATGATTAAAAAAGAAGTACCACTTTGCTATCAAATAGTAACAACACCAAAATACTAATACAGTAGGCTAGCCTTTTAACCATTACCCTGACCAAAACAGATAATAAAGTTATACACACCTGAATTGATATGTTACTATTAAATAAAGTTATAAAAGTAGGTTCAGTAATTACCAATGTTGGTAACCATTGTCTTTACTACTAGATTCAACTTACATGCAATAATAAAATTTGAACCCAACCAGTATAACAATGTAACCTCAAAATAAACTTTAGTACAGAAATCTTTATGCTGGAAATTAGTTTTGGGCGAATCTAGGAGGTGTTTCTCGTGGCTTCTGATAGTCAAATAAACTGGTAGCTTGAACATTACCAACATAATCCAAAGCTTCAACAAATAATTTAACAATCTGGAAAAGAAATAAGAACATTTTCCAAATTACTGCTATGGGAAGAAATATTTACTTATTACTGAAGAAAACTTCAGATACAAGAAATGGATATTGCAGATATGGATGTGATAGTTAATACTATATTGACAGAATAATTTTCACATCTCAGATTTTAGATGTCCAGATTCACAAGTGCAGTGAAAGTAATTGAAACAGGAAAAATCGGAGCCTATAGTAAAATGGCATCTACTTTTCTTAGTACTTCAGGAAGACAGGAAGGATGTAGTCTGCCAGTTATAGTGGCCAAGCCCCATAGCCAGACACGATTTTTCGAAGGGGCGAGTAAAATATCCGGAGGGGCCATGGAGTATGGAGTTTAATGGCAATAATAAAATAACGTAATAATGAACACGTTAGATAATTGGTCGGTTGTCAGATTTTTTCGGGGGTAGAAATGAACATTTCCCCATGAAACTAATATCGGCCCATGAAACCCGAAAACCTTGGTATAATTTAATAGGCAACTACGTCAACTCCTAGAAAGCTAAAGAAATATTGTCTAAAGTCTTTGAATGGCATTTAGCAATTGTGAGTACGATATATAGACACAGCTTTATGGAACAACAATCACTGGTTAAAGTTTTATGCAACGTTTCGACGTGTTTCCCCCGTCGTCCTCAGGCACATGAAAACACGTCGAAACGTTGCATAAAACTTTTATCAGTGATTGTTGTTCCATAAAGCTGTGTCTATAAATATTATCTACATTCAAATTTACCTCGAAGTTAGTAAGTAATGGTGTAGTAGAATCAATAGCTGCTCTACGTATTAAATAATTGTCTTTTGTATGTTTGGTATGTTCATTTGGTAAATTAATAACTAGACTTATTTTTCCTTCTCTTATCAACCTGCAAATATTAACAATCATCAGCAAAATAATCCTGTTTAGGACACCAATAGTCACATTAACCTAGTACAAATACCCACGTAGTTGCCAAACAACAGTTTAAATATTAAGTGATATGTAAATAGTTATGTAATACATAGTATAATAGTGATACGCTGTTAAGTCTATCATAAAACTAAATCCATTAAAATTACACAGAATAAGCAAGTATCTTTCTAAAGTCAACTTTTAAAAGACAAGCTTTCAATCAGTGGACTATACGTTATGGTTTTCAGTATAGACCAATATAGCCTGTGACAATCTGAAATAACCTAACCTTGTGGCTGGTACCAAATCAGGATTAGTATCAACAATATCCCAGCTAACTCCTTCAGTTGGTATGTAGTGTAAATTTAGATAATCAGCCGTCTTTTCTGTTGCATAGATCTGTAAGATAATAGATATGATTATTTCTGATAGACAGTGAACGTCAAATAGTTTTTAGTGTTTTAAAGCTTCTTTTAAAACACGTTGAAAGCAATAGAATCCATTATTTTGCCCAAAAAGAAATGCAACTTTTATCGTGGGCATTTCTACTTGACAAAAACAAAACAATATACGTTCCAGTTTTTCTAACTGACAAAAATTCCAGTAAAAGGAATTTTGGTTTTTACCTTGTACCAATAGTAGAGAGTCGTTTAACAATGGGTAAAAAATTGGGAAGAAATGATTTTTCAACACCAACTAAAACTGAGCCGTTTTCTTTAGGTATCTTAAAACCTGCTGACATCATAGCTTTTAAAAATGCTGTGTATTTCGTTCGACCAAAACATGCCACCTAAAATAAATTAAATCGACATTTCATGAAAATTTGTCGAACGGACATCGGCTACACCATCGCAATCAGGAACCATTTCTTTAACTAGAAATATAATTATACCTCTCCAGTAGAAGCCATTTCACATTTTAACAGAGGATCAGCATCTCTCAGTCTTGGCCATGAAAACATTGGTGCCTGAAATAAAAATATTTTTTTTTTATGTGAGAGTAAGATACCTAGCATCGTAAGTGTCACAGGGGAATCCGTTTGAACTGATTATGTAATGTAGACGGCCTCAATGTGCCCTGTGGAGGTATTGTCAATTAGGTCGTCTCAGGCTCTGTGTGGTGGTGAATGGCTCATAGATACTGAAAGTATAATATACTCACAAGTTCCAAATCATATCTACCCATATTAATGAATAGCTACCTTAATTCCGACATAAGATGTAGGGTTGTGGGGTGTATTCAGAGTTGGTAATGTAGATAAATCCAATGGCTCATTTAACATGACTTTAGTAGCAGTATCTATAAAATCTGTTCCAATAGTTTTAGAAACAAAGGGGCAAGATCTAGATGCCCGTAGGTTCAATTCAATTATCTGAAAAGCACAAATACTGACAATTAAAAACAAATTCATAATTGGTTGACTTGTAGAATGATGTACTAATATCTATTTGAAATTAATTTGACCAGTTTGTTCAACTTGTAGAATGCCAAATGATCTGACATGTCGTTTTATCGCGGACGTGTCATATTCCAGGTCAATTGTTTTAGAACCAGAGTCTGTCTCATTGCAACCATTTAGCAACAATGCTATGTGTACGTTGTAGAAGAATGCTTTTTGGATTAATTGATAAGAAAAAGATATGCTTACTTTTACATCACTGTCCTTTACCAAAAACTGCATATTAAATGGTCCACTTATCTCAAACCTCTGAGCAATTTTACGAGTTATTTCACGAATCTGAAATATACAAAAATATCAATTACTCTCAAAATTTTTTTTAAAAAAAAGTCGACATCAATTTATTCTTAAGCACAACTTTAGATATAGTGGAGCTTCATGATGAAAAGACTACTTACTGAAGCTAGAGCTGGAGCTGTAATAGTTTGTGTTGGTAACATTAAAGTAGCATCACCACTATGTACACCAGCATTTTCTACATGTTCACAGATAGCATGGGAAACAACCTACAATATTCATAAAACATATGCGAATTATGCAATAATCATCTCCACGCCTTGGTTGTACAACGATCAAAATGCTGTTTTCGAATACGAGAGAAAAGTTTTTAACGATTCCTAATTTTAAAGATGTGCCTCCTAATAATAATAAAGCCCGGAAACAGTTTAACAATTACTTGAAAATAGGTACTTGATAATAACGTTTCAAAGTATTCATATCGATTCAGTTTGTATTCTAAAGACTTACATTTCCATCTTTAGCTACGGCATCCATCTCCACTTCTCTTGTCCCAACATAGAATTTGGTTATTACGACAGGGTATTCTTTAGAAATCTGGGCTGCTTCAAGTAAATATTTCTCTAGTTCGCCAGGAGAGTAAGCAACATTCATAGCTGATCCACTGAGGATATAGGAGGGCCTTAACAAACATGGGTAACCTACTGTCGCAGCAAAATCTAAAGCATCATCCTGAAATTGAAATCCTCAACCAATGAAGAAAAAAAATCACCATATATATTCTCTGAATACTACTTCTATGAAATATAACAACTTGGGTACTTGAGGATTCTCTCAAATAGATGTTCTTTGTTGCGATTTCAATCCACGGCGACGACTTCCTTAAAGTTATGAAGTTTAAGTAACAAATCAGGCTGTATGTATCATTATGACTTAGCTACTGCCACACCTATTTCGATGGTGGAGTTTTATAATAACATTTGACCCGAAACCATCTAAGGATCGTGAAATCAGAAAATCTCTTACCAAAGTACTCAATGATCTCCATTCAGGTTGGTTAATATGAAGAGAGTCACATATTCCAGAAAATATGCCTCGGTTTTCAGCACTATCTATCATTAAAGGACTTGTACCCAATACTTTAACTCCATTCTTCCATAATGGTAGAGCTAGATTGTTTGGTATCTGACCGCCTACTGAGACAATCACTCCACTGCATTGCTGTAATAGTAACAAGAAAAAAGATTGCACAATGCATTATGTTTCTATGTATGGTAACCTATGCTGCAACACACACTCTATTACCTGATGATAGAACAACTCTGTGGAGAACACAACCCAGGAAAAAAAAAGAAATTGATACCACACACCTCAGTTTGGTAAATATCCAAAACTCTTTCAAGAGACAATTCTTCAAAATACAATCGATCACATTCATCAAAGTCGGTACTGACTGTCTCGGGATTGTGATTTACCACAACCTGAAAAGATAAAAATTTCGTCTGTAACAGAAAGTTGTAACGGAGCAATTGACATGCAAGTATCTTAAGATAATTTCTCTTTTTTGAAAAACAATAAGTTAAAAGGTGTGCTTGCAAGATGTGTTTTACTTACAGTTTTCTTGTCCATAGTTCTGAGAGCTCTGATACACGAAACAGCACACCAATCAAATTCTACACTACTACCAATATGATAAGGTCCACAACCCATCACCATCGTACCATGATCAGTAAAATCTAAATCATGTTCCTATAATTCAAAATTTAATATTAGACTTACTACTAGTAAGAGGCGCAATCAAAATCTGTAAACAATATTTGAGAAGCATCAACTGTTTTATTACAGCTAATAAATACAGGATTGTAAGAAATAAACCTACCATTCCATTATAAGAACAATACAGATAGTTAGTTTTCGCTGGATATTCTGCAGCCATTGTATCAATCTGAAAGGAAAGGAAAAGGATCAATGGAATATTATTTTCACAAAGTAATATCACTCAAATGTAATAACAATCAGCTTCTATCATTTATATATATTGATGGGAATGAGATGGGAAAATGACGACTCCGTTTATTAGTAACTTACTAACCTGTTTGACCCATGGCATGATAGATTTATCCAGTCTCAGCTTTCTGATCTCAGCTTCACTACATTTGAGAGCTTGTCCAATCTGCTTATCACTAAAACCAGCCTTCTTAGCTAACACCAATAGTTCTTCATCTAAATTGTATCTAGAGAAAAAAAAATGTTATTTTCCTATTTTCTATTGCAAAATATAGCTTGCCAGGCAAGGTAACATACGCCCACAGATAGCTTTGATTGTAAGTATTATGAAATTCAATATATTTACCATCTTCATAATGACATGGACACACAAAATCAAAAGAATCTGTAAAAAATTGTAGCCTGTAGAGTGAGCACGAGTTGCACAATATAGCTAATAGAGTAAAACATCAAGTCAGACACGATATTTCGGTGAAAAATTATCCGATCATCACGAAAATCAATAGGGATCATCTTCATAATGACATTGACACACAAAATAAAAATCAAAAGAATCTGTAAAAAATTGTAGCCTGTAGAGTGAGCACGAGTTGCACAATATAGCTAATAGAGAAAAACGTCAAGTCAGACACGATATTTCGGTGAAAAATTATCCGATCATCATGAAAATCGATAGATCATCATGAAAATCAATAGGGATCATCTTCATAACAACATTGACATACAAAATAAAAATCAAAAGAATCCATAAAGAACTGTAGCCTGTAGAGTGAGCACGAGCCAAATGTGAAAGGACGGACGGACGGACCGACGGGGTGATTACAATATATTGAGAGCTATAAAGAAATGGTGTCACCAGCACAACTGAAACGTTCTCATGCCGCTATACTCTGCAATCGAATTCGCACCTTCGGTCCGACCCCCTTTGAATAAATCCTTCGTACGCCACTGGTCCCCCCGCATTGAAAAAGCGATCTGCGCCCCTGTATCCAGGCCAAAATATTTAAATCTTTATTTAAATCGCCTGGTTGTAACCTTAAAAGAGTTGAACATGAATAGCATCACCTTCGTTTCTAGAGGAATTTGACTTACTTGGTAAAGATAGATAAATCATTTTCAATGTTAATAATTCTAAACAGTTTATGTAAAAACCATTTATCTATGTTAGTTAGTTTATGTATATCGTTGACACTGTAACCAGATTTAAATGCCTGAAACAGTATGTATGAATATCCAGATAACTGCTGTCAAAGAAAGAATTTAATTTTTTTAGTTCTTGGTTCACCTGGTAAGATGGAAGATCCTTTTTCTATACACAGGTGGTCAACGTGTCACCAGCCAACCTCCCGAGACTAAGAGTACAATAGGGGGAAGACTGATTCAATGGGGAGAGGGCAACTGTCAACTGTTGGTGTGACATATTTTGAGACAAAAATGTATAAAAATCATAGTTTTAAATTTGTTGACAATAAAGTGGTGGTACAATTGGGAATGCAAACCATTTTTCTAGGGGTCGCCGCCACTGCGTGTAAAGGATAGTTACAATTCAATTTTGGTTTAAAAAATTTGGATTGGGATACATCGTCAGAAGTACTTGCGAATTAAGATCAGCGTCGAACAATAGAAATAGCTTAGCATACCTTAGCAAGAGTGTGGATTCTGGTATTATTTGGTGTTGTCAGATTATGATCAATATTAAAATCAGATGGATACTGTTTACCTGCCGGTAATTCAGCCTTGAATCCATCAACAGTGGGATGTGTCATTCTTAAAGCTTTCTGGAGACTTTCTTCAAAGGTTCGTCCGATAGCCATCACCTAAAAGGAAAGAGAGCTAGAGTCTATTGATGCTGCTTGTAAGCTGTTATAAAAACACACTTATACGTTTTTTCAAAGGGCCGCAAATCATGCACACAATGTTGGAATAATTGTCCCACCTACAACCAGGGGTAGTGTTGTGAACACACAAACGAGTGACTACTTATTGTGTGATTGTTTGGCAGAGGAATATTTGAGATCCATACCTCTCCAACACTTTTCATAGCACTACCTATTTCTTTAGACATGAGAGTAAACCTGTCCATATCCCATCTGGGTATCTTGGTTACAATATAATCTAAACTAGGTTCAAAACAGGCTGTTGTCATCATTGTTGTTTGATTCTGTAAGGATGGTAAATCTATTCCCAAAGCTAGTTTAGCTGCGATGAAAGCTAGGGGATATCTGAAACAATTACACCATGTATAGTGGCATCAGTGTTTTGAAGTGATTTAATACAACTCCTTTGGTGGTAGTACTGAAATTAATTTTCCTATGGGAAACAGATTGCCTTTGATAATATATTAATTATTTCAAGAAATGGAACTGAATGTGATAAAAAGAAAATGCAAAAGCAAACAATATTAAACTATTCAAATATTTGTAACTGTTACAATCGACGTGTACTTATATCGTCAACTGACTAGGCTCCATACTTACCCCGTTGCTTTAGAAGCTAAAGCGGAACTCCTTGATAAGCGAGCATTGATTTCTATGATACAATAATCTAATGATTCAGGGTGTAAAGCATACTGTATATTACATTCACCAACTATACCAAAATGTCTGACAACCTGGAAGAAGTAACAATGCGAGAAATAATCAAGGCATGTACTAACTAACAAGTTTGGATATTTTTGAATGAAAATATAAGGAACAAAGATCCTCACCTTTATAGCTGTCTCTCTTAGCTTGTGATATTCTTCATTGGATAAAGTTTGACTTGGTGCAACCACAATAGAATCACCTGCAATAGATCTTACGACGCTCAAAGCAATATGTTTTAAAGGGTGATAAATTAACGAGGTATTAAATTTACAGTTGAAGCATAGTACTATCATTGACAATAAGGAGACATTTAATTTGTTTCCATTTACATTTCAAAAAATAATTTAAATGTTCAAAAATTCAGATTGAACGACTTTAATATAAAACAGCTAGTTACAGAACGGAAAGATCACTCTCTCGGCACACCTTATGTTAATACACTGAACTCGAAAGCTCTTTTACATATCCCACACAGCCACTAACGAAGATTGTGTATTTAATGTTTTGATCGTGGTGAAAGAAGACGTTTTAATAAAACACTTCATGGGGAATAGGACTTGAAGCTTGACACAGAAGCTAACAGATGATTATGACAATTACCTGTATGTACTCCAAGCGGATCAAGATTTTCCATATTACAAACAGTAACGCAATTATCAAAGGCGTCTCTAACTACTTCATATTCCACTTCCTTCCAGCCTAACAATGACTGCTCGATCAACACTTGGTTAGTTATCGCAAATGCCTGGAACATACATGAACACCTACGTGAAACAGTCAAAATAGGATGTAGGAGTTTCTCACAGGCAAGACTAAGTGCAAATGTTAATATTCTGCAAATTGCACCGTATTTGAGCCAACAGAGACAGTGTTTAAATTCGTCTACTTCTCGTAAACTGAATTTTTAGTAATGGTATGGCGATAAACTTGCAAGGTTCGAAAGCAACCAAAAAATGAAATGAAATGAATGGAGTTTTACGTCCTACTTTTCTGTGCCATGTGGGCTAATGAAGACGGGCAACGCCATGCAGGGTGCAATGAGGGAAATTTTGCCAGGACAGCGGCATAAGCCTGCTCTTTTTCGATTTCCAACTGTCGAGGTATCTTAACGTGCACAGCCTGTAGCACACGGGGCCTCGGTTTCTTGTCTCATCCGAACGACTAGACGCTTTTTCCATGTCAGCCCCTCTTACCTACATCACTGACAGGGGGAAATCGGGTTGAAAAATCCGAAAGTATTATCTCGACCCATGCTGGGATTGAACCCTGGACCTTCAGGTTAGTGAGCATGCGTCTAACTCACTGAGCCACCGCGGCTCCCCGAAAGCAACCAAAGACAAAACACTTACATTTGTCGCTATCCGAGTAAGTTCTTCTTTGTTTTTAGCTACTCCAGATCCAAGTCCACCTAAAGCATATGCTGCTCTTATCATAACCGGATACCCAATTTTTTCAGCTGCTTTTATTGCATCTTGTAAACTCTCTACAGCCATACTTGGTGCCAATTTCTCATCTATCTCTTTCAGTTTATCGGCAAAGATTTGTCTGTCCTCTGTCGCTTCAATACTGTCAATTTGTGTACCTAAAACTTTTACCCCGTGTTTCTGGAAGACGCCTTGTCTGTGAAGCTCAACTCCTGCAAAATCAAGGGATTTTCCGATTGTACAACAATTTATAAAACCTGAATTAGTCTGGGAAAACACATTGTTCTAATTGCTATATTAAGTCATGCCTTGGTATCTTACCGTAGTATCCAATACATGCAGAAAATCGATTTATAGCTATATGCACAAGATAATTTCTGTCGATAATATCCTTTCTCAACTACGAGACTGAACACATCTAAACAGCAAAAACAAAAGTTCAGTTTCATCAGATCAAAGCCCTGTCAAGCTGCAGGTTTATGAAATGATACAAAATAATTGACTTACCACAATTTAGAGCCGTCTGTCCTCCCATAGACAACAGGATACCATCAGGCTTTTCTCGCTTGATGACTTCAGTTATAAACTCGGGAGTTATGGGAAGAAAGTAAACAGTATTCGCTTGTTTCTCTCCCTCTGCATTGGTCTGAACTGACGCTATGTTTGGATTCATTAATACTGCTTGAATGTCTTCTTCCTGGATGTACGCAACAGCATACAGATATTTTTTAAATGAACTTTACTCGTCATCTATGACATCTAATAACTTGAGCATGTGTTTATTCTTTAAAAATGCTTTGTTATAATAAAATTTGCCTGCTGTAATGTGAAATCCATATAGATAAGAGTATCGCAGAGTGGCATATGATCTATGTGACAAGAATTAGATAGTATAAGTGGTACCTACTCGTAATGCTTTAATAGCTTGTGAACCACTGTAATCGAACTCTCCAGCCTGTCCGATAGATAGTCCACCACTGCCTAATACCAACACTTTCTCTACCTACAAACAGAAACAAATGCTATTATTTTGTCCATCTGTAACTCAAGTCTGCGAGAGTTTATCTAAATCCATCTAAAAGACCTCGACAATGGTGCAAATAAGAGATCATATATTCGCCTCTGAAATCAACTTAACAGGCAGTGTTCTTGTTTTAGAAAAGTACACTCTAATCATAAAAACTACTAAGGTAATAAAGGCACAATAACCTTCAGACAGTTGGATCTCTGTTCTTTTTTCCTAGGCATGACATGGATGACATTCTTTTTCTTAGTTGTGATCAAGTCCAGAAAATAGTCGAATAAAAACTGAAAGTATAATATCACAGTTCGTTATGATTTATCAAAACAAGCCACGACTAAGAACCCAGACTAGCCTCTACGAGGTTTCGGTCGACGCCTGATAGTTGTATCAAATTGTTCCATTTAGAAGCTTATCCTTATAACTCATTGTCATATCTGATAGGAGATCCAGTCGAATATTGTTTAAAGGAACATTTCTTTAAATCCATGTTAGAAGACTAACCTGTGTGTCAGTAGGTCCACCAAATGCTTCCGGATGAAACTGGGCAGTAAAAATAGGCTTGGATTTATGCATAATTCCCTAAAATATGAAACCAGTTTGAACAACGTTTCGTGGAATGAAAAGAGTACGTCTGCTCTTAATTTGAATAATGAAAACGGACAACACTATGATGTAATAAGAGAAATTTCAACACAATTTCATTACAAAGAACTGATCTGGAACTCAGATTTGGACTTACAGTAACCACAATAAGACAGCGGCAATTCCCTAACAGCTTGTCCAATACACGTTAAGTGTATCATCTAATATGATATCTGAAATATAATCATTACCTCGTTTGACCTGTCATTGGCATTGACAAATAAAACTTCCCAGTCATTCGATAATGTTTCAGTGTCAATGGCAAAACCATGATTTTGTGAAGTAATAAACGCCTGATTTGTTTTTACATTTAAAACCGGTTGATTATGTCCCCTAAATTAGAAATTAAAAATATGTTGTCAAAACATAACACACTAAATTAACTAAAACTGAAAATTAAACAACCAGGTTGAAAATCAGTGTAGAAATATTACCAAAACGACTAAGCTTTTTATTGGAGTTTCTTTGTCCCAAAGCAATAATAAATTAACCTTGATCAAGTTCGGAATCAATACATTATGTCAGTCAGGATGTATGAAGGACAAGTTGAAACACAATAGTTTTTATTTATTCACCTGTTACCAAGTGGAAGTTTATAAGATTTAGCTCCTGCAGCAAGACCAGTTAGTTGATTTCCCATACAAATTCCAAATATTGGTTCCTCACGATCACTTTCTATCACCTATAGTACCAGAAAATAACCATAATAAATGTTATGAACCCTTTATATTTCAAAACCAAACTAGGAACATATATCTCATCGTTAACAAATACTTACTGTTTTTTTTTAGGTATTTTTTATCTTTTTCCTCAGAATTGTCAATAAAGATTGGTAAAGTAGTAAAACTAATTAAATATGAATATGGACAGAACTGCCCACAGACTTACTACTTTGACGTGTTGAATAGCTTCTGTTGCTAATTCTGGGTTGCCAGGACCATTGGAAATAAATAATCCATCGTAACTTTCTGTGGTAAAATCGTAATTCCATGGTACTAATTTCACTTCTGCGCCTCTCTTTAAAAAGTCACAAAAGAGAGCATGAAAAGAGAGAAGGAAAACGTTATGATTACTTTATGGATTTCAAGCTGAACAGATTATCCTCTGCATGTATGTACATTTAGCATGACAACTACAGTACTACAGCGTACTATCCCCCTGTTCGCAAGATGTATGTGCCTTACAGATTATTAATAAATCTGGCAGTCAAGGAAAATGTCACCTCTCACAAAATTTTTAAGTATTTAAAAAAAGAAGAAAAAAAAACGACTATCGATTAGGAAATCAAAACAAGGAACATCAACTTACCATTATCAGAGAACGTAACATGTTGTGTTTGATACCACAATCTAAAGCTATGATTTTTATAGGGTTTCCTTTACCAAAATATTGGATCTCCTGTAACAAAAATGATAGGCAACCAATTAAAAAATAGTGGATGTTCTAAAAAAAAACCCTGTAATAACAGTGTTTCTAAGCATAAAGAAGCTCTTTTTTTTCTTAGCTTGTCCTTAATTCTAATAATTGGAACCTTACCTATATTTTAAAATCAGCTGGCAATATTAAGACTTGGTGTCCTGAACACTAAGACATGTCGACATGTGAACGGATAAACTATTTTGTAGAGCATAACGATCTATTATTATTAACACGGGACATACAATACCTTAGTAGAAACCTCTTCTATCAGATTTCTAATATTGGGATCATCAAATGGTATAGGTTGATCATCATACTCAATTTTACCCAAAACTGTCCCCTGATAATACATAATAGATAACATATTTGATCAAATTGGGAGAAAAAGAAATGGAACTGCACCCTTTCTTTCATGCATTTCCGGGTCTGTGTTGGAGTTTCTATGTGTATTTATTTACTAGCTGGATTTTATATGCTGCTCCTTACGTGTGGGTTCCTCTATCCAGGCGTATAGCTAATCTTAATTGTGCTTTTCAGTTGATAAATGGTTTTGTCGTTATCATATCACAATGGCTTTCTTTCATTTACAGTCAAGTTGTAATTTTTGAAATTCCGACTTAAATATACCTTGTCTCTAACCATCTTGGTGATCATTCTGGTATCAATACCAAACAGAGCTGGGACACCATCATTCATCAACCACTGTGATAGAGACTGGACAGAGTTCCAGTGACTATGCTCCGTTGTATAGTCTTGAACTATAAGACCAGATACCTGAAGCATACAAATCCCTACAATTATCAATCGTTTCACCTTCTGAACAATTATTTACCAAGGGATATCTCTTTATATCAGGTGTGTCACCATCAATGACCATCAATTGAGTGATTTTGCGTTTCTTATTACAGTTTATCTGATTTTATACTTTTGGAACACGGCGCTCAGATGTAGGTTTCTAATTGCTCTTATTTCTGCTGTAATCACGCATGTAATCTGGAATAGAACAGTTAGTGAGTGCGTGTCTTTGTTCTGGTATCCTACCTGAATTTTATCTGACTCCACATAACTTCTGAGCCCAAACTCGTCTACTTTATTGGTATCTGGAACTCCATAGTTACCAATGATTGGATAGGTCAAAGTCAAAATTTGACCTCTGTAACTAGGGTCCGTCAGAGCCTCTGGGTACCTGTAAATATAGTTACATATTAAATCTGTATTCTGTGCTGTTTAAAGTGATACTACGTCTTAGAATGAACATAAAATATTCATCAGTTAGCTTACCTGGTGTCATTAAATAACAACAGAATTCCTATAAAATCTGGAAAATTGGAAAATTCATAAAAATTAATTAATATTGAAAAACGCTTAATCTTGATATTTATGGATAATTACTAAGTTTTGTTGGATTTATCGGATTATATAAGGATCCTGTTATGTTATTTATGACACCAGATATATCTACTGGCTCTTATTCGCCAAGTTTAAAATTCTTAAGACGTAGTATCACTTTAACAATTCAGATAAGTATATATGTACCGGAGTAAATTTCCAAATCAAATTATATCGGGTTTTCGGAAACTATTCTTGTGTATACAGGCATCCTTGACATTTAATATACACTATGTTTGAAATTTTCAGACAGAAGATACAAAAGAAAAATAATCACCCAACAAGTCCTGTGTTAAAAACAACTTCACCTGCAGATGAGACCTCTTTACCAAATGAATAACCTTCAAAATGATGCCCATCTTCCAAAACTAGATGCGCTTTTCTTGGCTGCAAAGTGTAGATATTTACGTATTATTTCTTTGCTTTTTTTTAGATTTTCTCACGTTTTTAAGCGAACAGATAGATATTGCAGTCTCTTTGATTCTGATTTCAGTTGATAATCACAAATTAACTGAGAACGTGGGCGATCACTTTTCAGCTAGTGTCAGAATAGTTATCTATCTTTCAAGGGATCATTTCCAAGTGTCATTCTATTACTATGAAAGCCTTTTGGATTCATAATTTGAAAAGTTTGAGATCACCGAAGTCCACCTAGAAATCAGTTTCAAGTCGCTTTGAATGGAACAGTTTGAAGATAATATGTGTCTGAAACTGGAGCAAAACGTTATCCTAATGTGTCTGTGGCTTCACAGATGTTCCATGAGTTGGAAGGTTTCGCCCAATTTTGTGTGTTGTGAAACGAATTGTAAAGTTACCTTTCTCAACTTTGAATGTCTGTCACAAACTGTGGAATATCTACAATTCGAAATGTTCCCAAGCGTTGCTAAACAACCAGATTTCTTCAATAGTGGCAAAAGTCTCAAAATAGTCATTTTTAGTTATATAATTAAATACACGTAAATCTGGAATAATTAAAATGGTGAAATAAAAGCATAACTTGTCTGAGTTTATACAAATATTTTGAATAACAACAAAGTCATCAACCAACAAAGTTAGATCAACATTGACGAACATAGGAGTACCTGCAGCTTTTAGGTAAGGGTGGACTGGCCACAAACGAAAACTGGCTTTCAGTTCCGAAATTAGCTAGCAGATGATGACTGATTGCAACAATGGTCTTATTGACTGATAAAATCGTCTAAAAGTTTGTTTTTTCAGTTCATAGACACGAATTTTTCGTGAAACAGATACTGGAGGTGATAATAAACCAATACCGTTATTAAAATCCTTGTGTACGATAACGATTATAACGATGATGTCGTATTATTATAGTAAAATTCTGCAAGGAATAGAATGGTAGTTGGCTTATATGTGGTCACTTCCACCGATACGTTCTTATTCTGTATATATTGGATTTAAACTCTACATAGTGATATAAAATTCTGCAATAGTAAAATGAAATGAATGGAGTTTTACGTCCTTCTTTTCGGCAACATGTAGTCCAATGAAGACGGGCAACACCATGCAGGGTACAATGAGGGTTTATTGTCCCATCCAAACGACTAGACGCCTTTTCCATGTCAGCCCCTCTTACCTGCATCACTGACAGGGGGAAACCGGGTTGAAAAATCAGAAGATATCATCTCGACTTATGCCAAGATTGAACCCTGGACCTTCAGGTTAGCGAGCAAACTCACTGAGCCACTGCGGCTCCTCTGCAATAGCGCTCATTAAGTTGTTAATATATTTTGACGACTATATCCCTTTAATGATATCAAATATTATGGTATATTATATCTATCTAGCATTCCCTACAATAATACAATCATCTGTATTATAACCATATTAATAATTACTGTACCATGTGTTCTAACAAAATAAATAATACGAAGATAGATATTTACAGATAGAAATCGATGATATAAAAATATGTTTACATTTAATTTATTTAAACTATTGTAATACCGACCGAATTATCACCATATCATGATAAATGGTAGTTATAATCCTATATCGTCAAATTTTGATATTTTAAACAGATGTTTCTTTCAAGATATTCAAAACTGGGGTGTTTTAAAGAAATGTTTATTATTTTGTCTTACATTTTAAAAAACAGTATTTTGTTTCAAAAACCAGGAAAATAATACTTAAGAAATATTGAGATATATACCCATATCGTGATATATTAATGCTTAATATCGTGATATCAACATGAACCAATATCGCCCGGCCCTAGTAAGACAAAAGTACACTCTATGTACTGTCTTCACACTTTGGTCGGTAAATCGAATTTTACCAATTATGTTTATGTAAAATGGAATATCTGCATCGAAAAACTGTTGATAGCATTTATGACAATATAAACATACATCTCATGTTACTGTATAGTAAGATTATGAAATAAACTTCAAATATATCCTGTATAGAAAAGTCTCCTATAAGTGTAAAAGAAAATGATATTCCAAGATATTATGCTACTTAGAACGGTTATTGCGAGCATTTACACACAACTTATTAAAAAAAAAACGAGCATAAATTTAAATATTTGTTGCAGTTAGACTGCAGCACTTGTAAGTCTTCATATATATATATACTTACCCTTTTACTTTTGTTTTACTTAAGTTGCCTTATTCATTCCTCTACCAGTATGCTTTTCCTTATTTTTTTACACTGCAATATCGAGTAAGTGGATTTTACTGAATATAGACCATCTGTTCACAACTATTCAGTGACATATAGTCATATATATTCAGTGATCATCCACTCACAACATGACAATGATGATGCAACCATGTGAAATTGAAGTAAATAACAAAGTTGTAAGCTGTGAAAATTGACATCGTTTTATATAAACAAAATACATGTATAAAAATGCCTTTATTTGGGGGGTTTATCTCGTGGTGTTCTAATTACCTTGTGTGGTGTTTTGAACAAAGAGACGGATGTGCCATATTTTGTAAGTTTACAAAGAATAGAAACATATTTGATAAATCTGGCGTAAAGCATTAAATATAGCCTAATAGGCCTACTTCTAGATAAATGGGATTTAAGCCTGGTCACCCAAACAGAAAGCTGTAAAAAAGTTATGTTATCATGATACAGCTTTTAATTAGGTATTGAAAAGGACAGTGGCCATTGAAAAGTTGTGGTAAATTGGGCAAACGACATAATTAAAGATGAGTGTCAAATTAAGCAAACTATTCTACTAATGGATGTTTCTAATGAATTATCATGTATTCTTAATCTTATCATTATGTTCTTATTGCATATAATTAACAGTTCTAACCAATCATAAATGTGCCATGTATGTACAGTCTGGATAAACAAACTAAAAAAGACTTTTTGACCTTTCTTGATCGGTCACTCATTATAATTCTGCTGGTAATTCTCTTCTAATTTAGCTAATTATCAATTAATTATGGACATTATGTCATTAGAACACATCTACTTTCTATTCATGTCAGTATTAGCATTTTCATTTTTATAAATGAAAATAAGGGAACCCATCATAGTATGTCTATAATTAAAACTCATCAAATGACAAGATACACAGTCTGAAAAAAACATCATTTGCATGCCAACAACAAACGGGTCGCTGAGCTTCAGAGTCACAAAGGAAACAATGTTATGACGTAAAATCGTTAAGTCCGGCGAAGCTTCCGAAGTTCAGATATAAATTCAAGTAAGTTTTCTTTATTATTTTGACAAAACAAAAACCTCTGCATTGCAAATTATTTGTAGAGCTCTAGAGATTTAGTGACGATTAGAGATGCCCATTAACAATAAAACTCCGGAATCGACAATCCCCCGACAAGTAAATTTGCGATTAGAGCTAGATCTAGGCCTACCAGAACTAGATAAATACATTTTTAATAGTTGTTGCATTGAACCTTGATTACATAAGGTAAAATAGACTCGTTTGGAAAAGAAATCTTCAACATTCTATATTCCAACAGTTCTAATATTAAAATTCAACTCGTAACTTTCATAAAAAAAAATATACAGCTGAAAACCTTATAAATTAACCTTTCAATGAATCATAATGAGATTAATATCATTTGAAAACACAGCAGTTAGTAATATGTTATTCTGAACGCACACAACTCTTATTCTATCGAAAATTATCATAGATGTGAGACAAAACCTTTATGCGTTTAGTTGTGAGAATTCGGGATTAAAAACAACCTATGAAAAACATGGACAAATATATATTTTTTGAAAATTAATTACTTATTTGGTCAAATAAGCCCGCTTAGAATTTATCGCAAAATCCCATGTATTGGTCATCTCCCACTTGCAATTTAGATGATTTTTTGTCCCGGATACTAACTACATTCTTTAAAAGAATATATTTTTCTTCCAAATCTCTATATTTCATTTAAACAGACTTTACTTGTTCAAAGACAAGTATTCAAAACTCCGTTATATGTCATGACGTAAGAGCCTATTTGGTAAAATTACTTATATGGGTGTGAGAAACCGTCTTTAGAACTTTGCCAATTGTACAAAATTTTGAAATTTTAAGTTGTTTGTAGTGTCAAAATTTCACCATGCATTAATATGAATGATTTTTACTTTAACAGATTCAAACAAGAAATGTCTGCATACTAAATTAGTTTTGAAAAATTCTCTATGCAAATATCAAAGTGTCTGATTTTTGTTTTGTTACGGTGTTGAGATTTCTTGACAGCTCTTGATTAAACAATCTCCATTAACATGAAAAAAATACATTACAAAAGGTGTACACCCTATAATCAATAAAATAAAACGTATCTGATACAAAAAAATATGAGTTGTGTCACAGTTCAAAGAGGTTGATTTGTTTTTTTCTGGACATTAATGGGAGAATTATCCATATACTAAGGAACACATTTGTCTGAAAGCGGTTTCTATGGCCATAATTCAGAATAATTAGCTCCAAGAAATGGCAGGCCTATTTATAACAAGTGGTCGCCTAGCAAAATACGCCCACTTTCCTGATAAAACACTTTCAGTATAACCACGGCGGTCACCTATATGTGTCAAATCATACCAAAACTCTAATTTTTGCAAAATATTGTTGATTTAAACAAACACACATTATCTAATAAAATTCTAACATAAACTGTCACCTCTATCGTGTCACAAGCCAACAAATTTTGATGCGCTTTTACTAAGTCAAGGGCAATAACTCAAATTCCGTTGATCGAAAAATCGTCAAATTCAATCTTGACGAATATCTCATCATTATCAATGATCATACCAAATTTCATTTAAATCAGATGAAAACTGTAGTCCCTATTATGTTCACAAACAAATTTTGACGCGTTTTTCACAAATCAAGGGCAATAACTCAAAAATGTTCATCGAAAGATCGTAAAATTCGATCTTGTCTAAGATCTCATTAATATAAATTTCATTCAAATCAGATCAAAACTATTGTCTCTATTGTGTTCACAAGCCAAAGGCAATTTCAAAGGTGTTCACCGACCGACAAAGGCGACGACAATATACGACCCCAATATAATGTGAGCGTATAAAAATCCAAGTACACGTGTCTCTGATATCCCACATGTCACATTGTTTATTGTTTGTTTATCGTATCCATTTCAGATTCGATATGGAAGCTTCACCACATATTCGGGAAAATAAAGATGAAAAGAAATTGAGCAAGGTGCACAACCGCCCACCATCTGGTGGCGTGGAAGAACTTCGTAATAAATTCGGGTATAATTTACCACAAATAGCCACGTTACATCGTCTGTATGACCGAGAGAGAAATAAGCACATTATCAACAATATCATGAAATCACAGAACACTACCCCTACAGTCATCAAGCTGCTTTTCACGGGTCGATTGCCAATGGGTTACTTCAACGATCTGTGCTATGGTCAAGCCACACAAACAAAGAAAATACCACTTAGAACAACGTATCCCATAGGAGATCGTGAACGACCGCTGTGGCAACCCAAACCAAAAAAAGTTATCTCTGTCCGAGAAATAGAACATGCAGTATACGAAGCCAGGGCGCGTCATAGAAATCGTCTTGAAAACATTTCCAGTAAAGCTCACAGCCATTTAAAGGAGGTTGAAAAGGTCATGATGCGTCATCTGATGATCGAGCCTCGAGGGTTGAAGCTATATTTCGACAAACTTGAAAAGCGATCTTCAAAATTGTTTGAAAAACGAAAAGCAGAGAAGGCTAAACATAACGAAGTTACAGAGAAATCAAAACACTGACAAAACACAGTTTGTTGCATTTAAGCCTGATTTTATAATTGTTCATTTTCGTTGATTGCATTCGTTGTTCAACCGCAATTGGTATTTTCAAGACTTTTACAATATTTTTAAGGTTGTTTTGTTATTTTCGTTAGTTTTTATTCTAATATCATTTTGTAGGAGAGTGACATTAAACTTTGCGTTATTGCTATTGGTTGTTTAAATAATAATAAAATCTAAATATTGGTGAAATGTATATATTATTGATAATAAACCTGTAAAGTACCAGCTACCCTAGATCTCTAGTTTAGTTGCCTTGTCCCTTTTGAAAGGATTGGCGGATTTACAGTTTTGGCAGACTTTGTCTTAAGTAGTTTTCAGTAAATATATTTCTATTACAATTTCAAAAGTGATTGTTGGGAAATAACTGTTGAATACATGTTATTGTCCATTATAATATTATATTATATTATTGTCTCAGTGATGATATCACAATGATTTTTTATATTTATTGTTCATTTGAGCTCGATAATCATTGACATAACACATAGAAAATCATTCGTATCGCCCAGAAACACCATTGTGGTCATGACGAAGATACAAGATAACTACACTGAAGTATATCGTATAACACGAACGCACACTATAATAAACAAACAGCTGAAAATAATGACAGAAGGTAAATAAGTCAATAGACCCAGATACCTTGATAGAAAAAGGTCACAGAGGGTTTGCGCTTTAAATCGTAATCCAAAGTGATCAATATCGATATTTATGTCAATCAGAATAGCATCAGAATGAGCTAAGCCGTTTTTTTAGTATTTATCTGCACTGTACTATTAGTAGAGTTCATGCTATCGTGAGCTAAGTAATAATTGGCTAATCGGATGGGTACTGTCTGTAGTGGAACTGTAAGGTAAGGTAATTGGTTTAATGTTATTATAAAGGGATCTTTTAACACCCCCCCCCCCCTTTTTTTTCTTCTCATAAGTATAGGACACAGTGATAGACAAACTAATTACAAAGTCCTCAAGGTAAGCCTAGCAAGGCTAATAATGTTAGGTGTAGGCCTAATGGTCCATTCACTTGATAGTCCTCCTATTATATAGTAATAAGGGCATCACTGGAAACTGTTAACAACTGTGGCGTAAGCTTATTAATGATAGTGGACTTTTTATGATCTGTGAACTGTTGTAAAATTAACTTCTTTTTTTTTTTAATTTATAGGCAAGGGTATCCTTCACTAACTATTCATGTAAGTTACGGTAAAATGTTGAAGCACAAGCAATCATTAGATTTATATTTGTTTCACTGAAGGATTTTGTTTGATATTGAGGTATCTGAAGCAGTGATCTAAATGTGTTTTCAGGCAATGTTTGAAAATGAGTGGGGAAGAAGTGGAGATGAAATGTTCCTGGTTACAAGATTTAACATTGACAGGTCAGATATTGTCACTTCCAAATTTCTGACGGATAAAAATTGATTACAGTTATTATCAAATGATATAGGGAACCTGGGAAAAATTCTTTTTGTAGATTTTTGAAAATTAAGATTTGACTTAAAGCTATCATAGTGTTTAAAGGGACAGTTGCGCCATGTTGGGGGTGGTTGATTTGATTCTTGAATATCCAATAGTACTGGAAATGTACGAAAATCGCATAATTCCTTCAAAAGTATCTCAAACTAGGAATTTCTTTTCCTATTCCTATAGATGTCTTTTCTATTTATGGCAGTGTCTCAAGAATAGACAACTCGTCTTTTTATTCTTCAAATTTTGACGGTGAGCTCGTGAACACTATTACTGATTGGCTTAGCTAAAAGTCCCGTATTGAGACTAAGGTACAATTGGTCAAAAAAATATCGCACTCTGTCCCTTTAAGCTGAATTGAGTCTGATTTTTAGGTCTTGTTTTATTACCTTTCTGTAATAATTTTTTAAAGAATAATTTATGTATTGTAGGTGGTTGTTATGTACAAGTGGGTAAGGAAGTAGTAGAATTTAGTTCTCAGTATGGTAGTGAGAGAAGTATATCCTATACTGCAGCTAATTTAGCCGGGAAAGAAAGTATTTATCCTGGTTATGGTGATTTTACCCAAGCATGTGTCTTTGTAAGTCGGTTTTAATTTTTTACATAAGAACCATAAAACAAGGATTACTCACAATATTAACAAAATATATATATAGGATTTAGACACAATTTCTGTTTTCATGAAACTGGCACATTCCCCACTCTTCAAGCTTAGCTTTGATATTGTAGAACATAATTCAAATTTGGTTTATGTGATGATTAGGTGTTTATGTATATAATATTGTTTGCTCTTTATAGAGAACATATGGTAAATGGTGGAAGAAGTGTCCTTCAGCAACACCAAGATATAGACGAACACCAGATAGTTTTTGTAGTGATGATTTTATTGGTAATTATTAACGTGTTCTGGAACAAGAGATTGGAGTGGAACATAGATATCGTGGGTGACCTTGAAACCTTGTATATGCCATATTTGGTCATTTTGACTTTTTGGTACTATTCAAAAGCTCGTAAAAGCGCAGATCTTATGATCAAAACCTATTATTCTTAGCGTGATTGTAAATAACTCAAAAAGCACTAATTAAATAACACGTATATAAACAGTTAGATTTAAAACCTCATAAATATTATATTATACAAGGTTCAGTGTTCCTTTTTCTGCAGATGAAAACGAAAAACCTCGTATACTGTACTTTTCAAAGGTTGATTAGGTCGAAGTACTCAAATTGTTATACAAGGTTTAGTTTTTCAAAGAATGAAAACCATGTATAGCGGTAAAAAAATTGATTAAAAAGATTTTAACAAAATACACTTACAAATAGTTTTTTGTGTTTATCTCGAAAAGTAATTTCACGTCATATATCGTTATACTAGGTTTCAAGCAGTCACCAACGATATTCAGTCTTCTGTTACATGGGTTGCACATTAGATAACAACTAATAGCCCTTTTGGACTGAAAACGGCTTGCTCTGCCGTCATGAATAGTTTTACTGGTACTGACAATGTTTTAGCTCATTGAATTGGAAAGGAAATTTGAAATAACTTATTGTCTAATACACAGTGATAAACATTTGGGTGGAGAATGATGACACGACTATTCTTTTGCAAGTTTATAATTATAATTATTTAGAGCTTTATGAACACACTGGCAATTTTTGTTGGTCCACATTTGACATATTGTGGCAGTATGCAAAATTTTCATTATCAAAAGTATCATAAATTGTTCCATAAAATATTTCTAAAGTATGCTATTTATTTCTATGTATCTACTTGATCAAACTGAATTTGTTTTAAAAGGCTTGATTAAGAACTGAGAGAATTGTTAATTAAGCAATAATGATTCAATATTATTAGTTGAGACTTTTAGTACGTAGGAGACATATTTCTCTTCAATGAGCGTTTACTTTACTTAAATTATTTACATAAACCTTTTAAATAGTTTTGGCATTAAAAAATAAACGCCTGGTTTTATTTTAGTTAAAAGTTTCAGATACGTTAAATAAGGCTGGGTATCGATTATCAAATTGTGACGGACTGTGATGACAGACTATCGATCAATAATCAATTAATAATAGAAATAATTTGATTGAAAAACACTACAAAAACTAAATGAAAAACATGCCAAAATTCTCAATTTCATGGGTTATTTTTGCTTCATATAAGTATATTCTTGCTTTGATCGGCTATTGTAACTTATTGTGGACAAGTTATGTGTTGAAGGGAACCTATGTGTAAGAGATTACTACTTGTTAATGGGTACAGTGGTGAAATTGTCATTTTGGCATATAATCGATTATGATATTTGGTAATCGATAATCGAAATTATAAATTCCTAGCAACAATAATCAATAATTTGGATCATTTTACCCAGTACTAACATTAAGGAACACATTCTTTAGATTTTGTTGTATAGTTTTCACAAATTTGAGCAAAAATTTTTTCGACATACTAAAAAAGAAGAATGACCTTTAAGTTTATATTTATATTTTGTGCTCTTACAGAAGTTGTATTTGCTGATAAAGTATGTCCAACAAAAGTTGAAGTATTTGAAACATATAATCCAGGATGTATAGTTAAGATATTAGCTTGTGATTGTACATCTGGAACTGATGTAGACACTGGACAAGTAGAGTAAGTATTACTTTGTATAGAGTAGACACTGGGCAAATAGAGTAAGTATTACTTTGTATAGAGTAGAAACTGAACAAATAGAGTAAGTATTACTTTGTATAGAGTAGACACTGGACAAATAGAGTAAGTATTACTTTGTATAGAGTAGACACTGGACAAATACAGTAATAAATACCTTGTATAAAGTAGACACTGGACAAATACAATAGAAAAAAACCTAGACAAATAGAATAATAAATACCTGGTATATAGTAGGCACTAGACAAGTAGGGTTATAAATTATACCTTGTATAGTTTAGACACTGGACAAATAGAATGATAAATCCCTTGTATAGAGTAGACACTAGACACATAGAATAATAGATACCTTGTAGCCTATAGATAAGTAATGAATAACTTGTATAGAGTGGATACTGGATAAGTAGAGTAATGAATAACTTGTATAAAGTATAGAGTAGACACTAGACACATAGAAAAATAAATACCTCGTATATAGTAGACACTGGACAAATACAATAATAGATACCTTGTAGTCTATAGAGTGGATACTGGATAAGTAGAGTAATGAATAACTGGTATAGAGTAGACACTAGACAGAATAGAGTAATGAATAACTTGTATAGAGTGGATACTGGACAAATAGAATAATAAATACCTGGTATAGAGTAGACACTGGACAAATAGAATTATAGATATCTATAGAGTGGATACTGGATAAGTAGAGTAAGTATTACCTGGTAAGGAGTATACTAGTAATACTAGACAAATAAAGGAATAATAACTTTATCTTACTTAGACACTTACAGGTAGACATGACCAAAGGTGTATGGGGTTTGAGACCTGTATAGGTTGAGGTTCTAGGCATACCATGTTTTTTAAAACATAGTTTTCCCCTGTCATTGGTGGATAAAAAGAGGGATGATATGGGAAAAGTATCTTGAAGTTCAGGTGGATGTTCCAAATCGAAAAAAAGTAGTTTTATGCCCATTTTCACCATTTCACACTGTATGGCTCTTCCTAGTTGTAAGTCTTCTTACCTTACCTTCATAAATTATTTTTATTTTTTCAGATGGGTAACATTATGGTCTGGTAAACCAACCTATCCTAAGCAAGAATCAAATGTATTTTCCCCTCCACTGAAAAAAGTTAATTTCTTATCAAAGTAAGTAATAAAAGGTGCTGAAGTCATGACTTGTTTTAAATCATACTGTACATTTTAATCTTTAATCTTTTAGGGCGAACAAATTTAAAGTTGAAAAAGGGCAAAAAAATTAACAAGAACTAGAACTGTGGACAGCTCCGAGTGTGGCAATGAGACCTTATCCCATGGATTTGAACCTTTTGAAACTTCTAGCCTGTTAGCATTTAACTCTGTTGCTTTTTAGCCTGAAATTTGTGAACGAGAACTTTAAGGTATCTGATAAATAAATCAAGTATATATTACACTCCAGAAATCTCAATATTCTGAATTTGCAAAAATTTACTAGAACTGATTTAAACTGTACAATGTTAAATTCCCAGGGAAAAGGGTCCCTACTAAACTAGATGAGCCACGAACAGTTTTTATAATGAAGGGTTTCCAAATTTTGTTGTACTCTCCAATTTATATTGTCTGCTAATTTAGGTTTATAAAAGATACTCTCCTGTTGAAACACTTAAATATTTCACAAGTATTATTTTGTAATTTAAGTTCTAATTAAGATAAAAAAAAAAAAAAACAAATGGTTCAATAATTTGTAAATTAAATTGCTTTAAATAGAGGTATTTTTCAAATTTTTATGCAAAAATGTTACAAAAAAATAGAATAAATTTTATTAGGGTTAAAAGATTACATAATCAATTTAATCTCTAGCCATACTGATAACAACCTCTAGGCATTGAACCATGACTAATGTGAGAGGTGAAAGGGTCAAATCAACTGTTTTATTATCAATGAGTTGAAATATTTCAATTTTTTTTTTAAAATATCTTTATGCATTATTACCATATATCATTACAAAGAGAATTTAAAGGCCATTAATAATCTGAAAAAATTAAGCCCCTGTCTGGTTTCGAAAATGTCAGATTTCGAAGGTTTATAAATCTGGAAGTTTATGTCTTTCATCCAGAATCAGGATATTTATAGATAGCTGGGGTCATGGACAATCTTCACTGAAAAATTCAAGGTCATTGAAGGTCAAGGTCAGAAGATATAGACTTTTTAATTTTAAAAAATGGACATGAAATGAAAAAATTTAGATTCGAGATTAAAATTTCTATTCAACTAGTTTTTGATAGCCTACATAATCATACAAATCAGATAATAAATGGCAAACTTAGTAAAATTTTAACGAAACTGCACCACTCTCCGGTAACATGTGCCAGTTCCGGTTTGAATTTTTTTTCTTGATTCAAATTAATTATTTTAGATAATCTGTACGGTTTTTGTCTACATTTGTAAATTACACTGGAAGCAGGGTTGCCCAAGGTGATTTTGAGAAACTGGAAGTTCTCACATCCAAACCTGAAGTAATTAAAAAATTTTGATGACGCAGTAAATTTGTTTTGGCATTCTGTCTATATCCTGTAATTTTCAAATCGATCTGATAATTAGCGCAAAAGTTGAAAATTTCAAAATTATTCATGCAATTGTTTTTTCTCTATTAAAATGTTCAAACTTCAAATTTTTGTCGATTGCATTCGATGCACCTTGTTACAAATGACGTAAAACAGAAAACCCAAGGTAAATCATTCCACAAATAAGCTCTACAGCCTCCAAACCAATTTTTTGCTCATTATGCAATATGTCACTTCCGGTTCAGCAAAAATAGGTTTGATATGCATTTTTGATTCCAACCCACTTTAAGATGTTTGTTGAAAACAGAAGTACTAGCTATTATTTTCAGTTTGTCCTAGATAGCTTCCCAAAATGCTTAACAGTGCAATGAATGCATTTTTGAGTAAACTGACCCAGATTAGTTAAAAAGATAATAAGTACTGCTCCATACGAAACTACATACGGTACTTACATGGAAACAACACACATGAATTTAATTCACAGCCATTTTGAATCACTCCATCGACTTAATAAGAATTGTGTTAAAGGTTATCATATTTCAACAAAGCCTTCAAATCACATTTAGGGACAGATGCTCCATTTTGGGGGGTTGATTTTAGTCTTGAACGTATGTAAATAGTTTTCAGAAGTACTAGAAATGTACGGAAAACAAATTATTCCGTAAAAATACTTAAAACTAGGAATTTTACTCTCTATTTCTATATATATCTTTTTTATATATCACAGAATATCTTAAATGACGGATAATTCTGGACAAATTTCGATGGTGAGCTGTGAACACTATAACTGATTGGCTAAAACTAAAATATTGTTGGTAAAAAAAACGGCTCACCTGTCCCTTAAAGCCATTTCCAAACCTTTTATTGTGATTTGAAGGCTTTGTTGAAAGTCTAAAAACAGATTCAAGATGGTTGGTGTGTGTTATTTCCATGTAAGAACCATGTGTAGTTTCGTATGGTGAAGCTCTTTCTCTTTTGGTTCCATGAATATCAGGCAAAATAAAAACTGAATCTATTTTCATTGCATGTTTTACTCAGTTTAATCCGATTGGAATTGTGTCAGGAATTGGTGGAATACTATACAGAGTTAGACTGTATACGTCTACATGGTACTAGATCTACTAATAAACCAAATACTCAAGTAGTGCCTGATGTCAATAATATTCTAGATGAAGATTTAAATATTAAATTACAACAGTTAGAAATTAAAAGTGACAGTAATGTATCATCAACTCAGTCTGCAGTAGAGGAAGAATCTAACAGAGTTATTAATGGATCTTTTGATTGTTTACCTGTGAGTGTTTATTCTATATTAGACTAATATATCATTTCTACAAGTTTGAATTAAAGATATTTCTTAATTATCAATGAATAATTAAATTACGATTCCGTTTACATGGTATCACACAATTTGATTGGATAAGAGGGGTCACATTCATTCAGTTTATATCTGTGTAAACAGAATGTAAATATAAGCTCCACCCTTTATCAGACTTCTTTTATCATTGAGTTTGATTAACATGGCCACTACAAGGCATCGATGTCGTTTCTTCGAATGTCAAAAGATTCGAAATGGACACTTCACTAAAGGATGACGGTATCTTCGAAATTCCCTTGAATGTGTATGCTCCAAATTCAAACAATATCATGAATTCTGGACTTATTTTGAACTCGTCTTTCAATTATTGCACTTTCTAGTGGCCGCTCCGTCAACTTTCAGACAGTAGACTATATAAATAGAGTGACCTACTTATTGCTGATTGGCAAGGTTCACACGTAGTGAATTTGAATCGTTCGCATATTTTCGTCGATCATATCATGTGATCAGTACAAATGGCAGACCTACTGGTCCCCCCCGCATTGAAAAAGCGATCTGCGCCCCTGGTTGAAAGGTTGTTTACAATAAAACCCAGGAGTAATATACCATAATATTATATTCTGTTTTTCTTTGAGATAGTGAGAAATAGTAGTATTGTGGTGTTTTATTTTTATCTGTTGCAGGGAGAAGTTATCAATTTAATTTTACAATATTTAGATCTCACTGATCTCTGTCATTTAGCACAGACCTGTAGGTCAGTATGTTTTATTCTTAAACTGTATACTTGCACCCTTTCTTACCCTCCCCTTTTTCTAGTCATTATAGCTTTAACAGTCTCTCTCTGGATAAAGCTGAAAACTCAAAACCCAAAATTTATCTTTATTACAGATTATTAGAAAAATATTGTTATGATCCTTTACTTTATACTGAATTGAATTTACAACCATATTGGACTCAGGTAAGAATCATTTAACATGAAATATCTCTATTCATGGTCAGTTGATGTCATGGTGTCTTCATGTCAAAGTTCAACACTTTCAATAAGAGATGTAAGATTAGTTGAGCAAAAATCTATTGTCTGTGTCATACTTAATCAAACAATGAAGATACAAAGTTTCTATCTAGTGATAATATTGTTTTAAAGGTACGAGATTCAACACTAGCAGGTTTACAGTCAAGATCTTCTGCTATACAGAAGTTAAATCTAACATGGTGTGGGAAGGGTGGAATTTTAACTGACTCAGGTTTACAACAGTATGTACATGTATATCAATATATCTATCTTATCTATAGAGAGACTTTCTATTTCTATTATATGGACATGTATCTTACCGGACAAGAGCAAACCCTACTCTCTGGCAACCAAATTTCTCAATACTTTTGTCAATTTGTCTCCATTGACAGTCACTTAGGTTATTGAGATTACAATTTCTAGTCCTAACATCCTAGCTTATCTAGAGTTCTTGAAAACAATCCTATTATTCATGAAGTTTCAATAGAAATATTCTATCTACAGTTTGACATTGGAGAAGTGTTCTGGCAATTGTTTTCTCCAGGTACACGCTTAATTACAGATCAGTACAAAGAAAATTTATCTACTATATTCTATGTTCTGAAATAAGCTATCTTGTCAACAACTAGTATGGCATTCTTAAAACACATTTATTCATGCATTCATTCAATTGTTTTTTCATGCATTCATTCATTCTCATTTTATAGATTTAATCTACATATATGATAATTATATTAATAGATTACTTCCAGTATGTAATACCAATTTAACTGGTATAATACTATCATCATGTAAATTTGTTGATTCCACAACATTAAAACTTTTAACACAACATTGTCCTAATATAGCAGGTAATATACATGTACTTGTTTATATAAAAAATTACTCAAATATATGCTAAGCACTGTATGTTAAGTGAGTTAATAAAACTGTGTATTAAGTGTAGAACCAATTACTTAACTTTTCACCTTAACTTCTGAGAAATTTTCATATTATTTTCTTATGTAATTGATATCTGACACCTATTTGAAAATTTGCAGATCATGTGTTTGACCACATGCTTATTTTTATGCCCTAATAAGCTTACACAAAGATCCAAAGAGTATATTTTGAAAAGCTTCAAAATCTGTACAGGAAATAAAAATCTGGTGTCTGCTTAATGGCTATTGATTTGTAGAAATATGAATATAAATAGCTGAAATTAATTTCTATCATCTGGTCAAGCAGATAGTAAGATATCAGTGTATTCCTTTTAGGATTTTTTTCAGTATTGAAACTTAAGATAAGAACCTAACTTTTTCAGAGATAGATTTAAGTAACTGTAGGAAGATAGGTAATGTTGCCATGTTGTTGCTGTGTCGGTTTGAAAAATTAAAAAGAATGAATTTATATCGTACATTAGTTGATATGCCTTCAGTAATAGCTGTTTTACGGTAAGTGCTGCACATACGCCTCCCCCTCCCCTCTCTTTTAAAATCATAATTTAATGATTACGATTCTTTGACATATGGAAATTGAAAAATAGTGACTAAAGCTGCAGTCTCTCAAAATTTCCCAAGGTGTATGGCATTGTCTGTAGTTATTTTTATGATCATGAGTAGGACATACATCTTCAATATGTTTTTTGGCTCATTGTTTGCTAAAGCAATATAATGAGAAATATTAAAAAATGTGTTGTTTCTTAAGAGTTTCAGACTGTGTGACAACTGGTCTTTAATTTTCATATAAATTGATACTGTATATTGTAGGTCCTGTCCCTTATTAGAACATCTAAATCTGGGATCATGTATTGGTATAGCTAGTTATGATGATGTACTTATTGAAATTGCCAATAATTGCCAGTATGTAGGCTTTATATCTGAAATTTCATTTTGATTTTAGAGTATTAGTTAAGAGTTTACTATATTTCTGTTATCAAGATAGACAGGTTGACAGTTTTCTATTAGTGGTACCAGGATTTGACATCTTTTCATAGTAAGAATATGCAATAAAATTTCTCTGATTGTTCATTTTATGTTGTTATCTCAAATAGCTTAAAAATTAAAAAACTGTTTGTTAGTTTGGAAATAAAATTTCTATATACTTTAATTCCTATGTTTGTAGTAATTTGATATCATTAGACTTATGGCAGGCAAGATCCTTAACACATATTGGTGTTAAAGCTTTAGCTAATAAATGTACTAAATTACAAGAACTTGATATTGGTTGGTGGTAAGTGAAAACATTAATTTTTTAGACATTCACTAAAAAAATAAAATCAAATTAGAAAAAAGAATTAAGTGTATAATTTATTTGCAAGATTTATTCACTCTATCAAAGATTTGCTTTTTCAGCCAATGTAGCACAATTTTATGTGTTCATAACTCTTTTCAGTTTTGTAATTTGAGTTTGACTGCAATTCAGTCAGTCTGAGAGTAGTTTCTCATGTTTGAATTAAGAATTTTTTTTTATCTCTTTCAGCCCTCAAGTAAAATCAAATACCTCCTGTTTAATTTCATTATTAAAGGAATGTCGATCCATGAAAAAACTCTTTTTAACTGCTAATAGGTAAACTATTTGATGTATGGTTATGAACATTAGCATCAAGGACTGGTATATTTTCTGGGGTTTTTCATATTAACGACATCTGTAAATCTAAAAAAATAATTGACAAACTGTTCTGTTCTTTTTGTCAGTAATTTTAATATTTTATCATTTATTTTCAATACAGTATAGATTGTTAATGTCTTTGCTAAGTCAATTTAATCTAACGATTAAACACATTTCTATTCCATTAAAATTAAAAAGTTGCCACATAGAATTTCCACTGCCAACGATAATTGTCTTGGGTGAACATGAAATTAATTAGAAAGATTATTTGTCTCTCACTATGCCCTATATTTGAATGTGATTGCAATTTGTTTGTAGAACAGTTTGTGATAATGATTTAAGAGCTATAGCTGAATATGCACCATTTATGGAACAAATTGATATTCTTGGTACAAGAGAAGTTACACCAGCTGCTGTATTGAGGTATTACAACTTGGGGATGTCCACATGAAATGGGGGGCGTATATTGCCGTCACCCATGTCGGTCAGTCGGTCGCTCATTCGTTCGTACGTCTGTCAGTGCGTCCGTCCACAATTGCTCGTTAACACTCTACAAGACACAATTCTTGACGGATTTTGACAAAACTTGGTATGAGTGTTCGTAATAACCCAAGGATGAACCCTAGTGAAAATCTGAAGAATCGAAAAATATTTAGTATAAATTATTGCCCTTGTTCTTGAAAACGCGTTCATTTTTTACCTCGTAAACACTTTATAAGGGACAATTCGTGCTGGATTTTAACGAAACTTGGCATGAGTGTTTGTAATCACCCAAAGATGAACCCTATTGAAAATCAGAAGAATCGAAAAATATTTAGTATGAGTTATTGCCCTTGTTCTTGAAAACGCTTTCAAATTAAGCTCTTTAACACTGTTTAAGGCATGATTCTTGCTGGATTTTGACAAAACTTGGTTTTATTATTCAGTCCCACACTGAAGATTGAATATTTGCCTTCTAGAGTTTTCATGAGCTAAAAATTGAACACGTTTTCAAGAACAAGGGCAATAACTCATACTCAATATTATTCAGTATTGCACTAAAGAGTTTAAAAAGAAGTGTATGACTGAAGGTTGAATATTTCATACTGGTGATTGTTACTGTACTGCTAAATATTTTGATTCAAAATCAAAGCTGCCAGTGGGCATATATTACCTTGCCTGGCTAGCTATCTTTATATATTGATCTACATTTGATGTATTGAGTACTATTTTAACAGTGAGAATTTTTTGAAAAATCATTTAAATCAGTAAGGGTGAGCAATGGCCTTAGTCCTAATGCCACCATTAAATGGAAAAATTCCTTATTTACCTTATTTCCTCTCAGAAAGCAACACAAAAACTTTAAAAGATGTCCATTTCTGATATCATTTTATCTATTTTTCAGTGTTTTAGAGAATTGTAGGAATCTGATATTTTTTGATGTGTCGTTTTGTGGTGGAATATATGACATACACATTGAAGACTGGGCTAGACAGTTTCCTCATGTAAATTTTAAAAAGAGCTTTCAGTCAGGTTCAGTTGGTTTATAACTTAATAAACTAAATATTGTGGCATTAAAAGACCTATTTCATAAAATTGATTTTATGATTAGTATTGTGAACAACTATATTATGGAATATTATGTTAGATTTTATGTTGTGGATAGATATTTTATATCTGTCACTTTCTGAAAGTTGAAAATATTGTCTAGGCATTACTTAGATAAAAATAAGTATATCTTTAATCATTTGCAAAATCAAATCTTTATCCATTTTTAACGGCCACCAGATACTTTTATCGAATCAAATATCTTATTTATCAACACATAAAAATGTTGAATTATTTTATTTATTTGCATTTCCATGTGATAATTTTTACACAAATATAAACAAAAGGTAGATAGGGTTGATAGTCAACATTATTTTTTTGTGTATTTTTTATTAACATTTAAGTGATTTATGTAAAATACAGTGTACTCTTGACATCTTTTATATGAACAATCCAAGATCTATTATGCTTCCTGATTCATTTCCTTCTTATGCGTTAGTTTAAAAAAATTGAGTAGTATGATTATGTCATGAATTTCGACCTGAACCTACAAAAAGACTAACATATAGGCTAATGAGTAACTAAAACTAAAAGTTGTGTCTAAAATATATGGACTGTGAATTGTCTTTTTGAATAAGAATTATAAAGTTTAGTAAGATATGGAAAGGTATAAGCTAAAGGAAGGTCACTGATACAGATTGACAGCAGATGTTAATTTCAAGGACCCTCCATAATCCAACTTATTTTCATGGACCCATTGGATTTGAGATTATACAGAGTACACTATACCTAATGTTATGGTAATAATTATAGAAACTCAAAGAAAATAATGCTACTATCATAATCTGTGTTCACATTTGATATTGATTGAATAGTTCTATTCTATCCCCAAAATTTGACACTTTTTGGACTAAGCATTAGTTTTCACTAATTAGCTATGAATTCATTACATGCCAATTATTTTGTTAAGGACAAAAATTGAAGCCAAAACACATAACTTTTGTAAAAAAAAAAAACCATTATAGCATAGTGCAAAAAGTCTTGGTAAGAAATGTTTATTTAAGATTGGTGATATCACTAAAAATAAATTGGTGTCAGAAAAGAAAAAGTACAACATATTATATACAGTTTTGAAAGGTATCATAAGAATACAAGTAATACAGCATTTTAAAATTTCATTGAAATCATTAAATTATGCAGCAGTGAAAAAGTTTACAGAAAATATGCATAATGTAATTAAAAATGTCATTGATAGTATTAATAATGTAAAATGTATTGAAAAATGTCATTCAAACTACAATATGTAATGAATATGAAATGATATGAAGGTTCATTGTAAATTGTATTGAAAAATTTCATTGAAAGCACACTATTTTCATTCAATGTATAATGTATATGACAGCATACAGAATTGAAAATCATTCCTGTTTTTTTCCTTGTTGAAGTATTATATTAAAGCATTTTGATTTGAATTGTACTTTGTCTATGACAATCATAAAAACATTGTGCTGTGATATTTTATTGTTCAAAGTTCATAATAAATTATTAGAAAAATGTCAGATGAATCATATCATAATTTCCATTTGATCAGATAAAATACTAATTTGTCAGTGTTTGTACTTTTGAAACAACGAGCCTGTTAATCAATGAAAAGTGAATGATTTTGCATTGAAAGATTATTGTAAAGAAATGCTATTTTTATTACATGCAGAAGTGATTAAAGGGCCAGGTAAGCCATTTTGGGGGGTTGATTTTAGTCTTGAATATATGTAAATAGTATTCAGTACTGGAAATGTACGAAAATCAATAATAATAAAAAAGCTCTATACTAGGAATTTTACTCACTTTTCCTATATGTTTTTTCTATATATCACAGAATATTTTAAATTGACGAGTCATCATTTTAACATTCAATCGCTTATAATTCTGGACACACATTTGTGATGGTGAGCTTTGAACACTATAACTGATAAAAAACATGCAAAGTTTGTATGACACAAATTTTCATCTATCCCCTATCAATATTATATACTCTGTCCATATTAATGCCCCAATATTGCTAATAAGAGGAATTGAGGGCTGAAAAATAAGTAGGTCACTGGTGCTTAAAATGACCAAAGTAATAAGTCATTTTAATAACAAAATATAATTTAATATGTATCTTAATATAACAATTCTATCAACAATAGAAATACAACTTTTTTTTTATCTATGTATCCTTAACCCAACAAAATTGTATCAAAAAAAATTTTTTCACCAAAAATTAGAGAAAATACTAGGCTGAAAAAAAAGATTATCAACCAAAACAACAAACACACCGTTAATCATTGTATTTCTTGAAATATAACAGCAATTAAGCCTTTTGTCACCTGGACAATAATTCCCTCCATTTCAGATCTTTCTTTAGATCCAAAATTATTTTTTAGTCCAATAAGAATAAAAAATGATTGACGAAATATATGTAGAATAAATATTTCCATTCTATCCCCAAAATTCAACACTTTTTGGAATAAGCATTACTTTAAATGTGAATTGCAGGACAAAATCATTCTTTCTTTACATTCAAAAAATTAGTGTTTAGTTTAATGAGAAGAAACAAGTGGTTACCCAATTTCCTGATACATTTTCAGTATATTGAGGGCATTCATCAATCTGTGTCAAATCATACCAAATATCTAATTTGTGCAATATATTGTTGATTTAAACAAACACACATTATTTAATAAAATTCTGACATTGATTGAAAACTTGTCAAATTCAAACTTGACTAAGATCTCATCATTATAAATGATCACACCAAATTGCATTTAAATGGATGGAAACTTTAGTCTCTATTGTGTTCAGAAACAAATTTTGAAGCGTTTTTTTCGTAAGTCAAGGGTAATAACTCAAAAATCGTTCATCGAAAGAATGTCGTATTCAAACTTTTTCAAGATCTCATCATTATAAATGACCACAGTCACCACACCCAATATCATTTATATCAGATGAAAACTGTAGTCTCTATTGTATTCACAAACAAAGTTTGAAGCGTATTTCTTAAGTCAAGGGCAATAACTCAAAAACCTTTCATAGAAAGATGGTCAACTTTGATCTTGACCAAGATCTCATCATATGATGACACAAAATTTCTTTTCAATGGGAAGAAAACTGTAATTTCTATTGTGTTCACAAACAAATTATGACACGTTTTTCCTAAGTCAAGGGCAATAACTCAACAAGCGTTCATCAACAGATCGTCAAATTCCTCTAAGCTCTAATCAATATAAATGAGCACACCAAATTTCATTCAAATCAGATAAAAACTGTAGTCTCTATTGTTTTCACAAACCAGTTGTTAACGGACGGATGGACTGACTAGGGTGATGACAATATACTACCACATTATAATGTAGAAATATACAAATGATTGACGAAATATATGTACCAGTAGATGATCATTAGAAATTCCATAGTGTTCAATAATTACTCCCCATCTCAGCCTCCTCATGGGTTTTCATGTGTCTTATCACATTCTTCTTTACTCGATATGTTTTACTGCATAGGTCACATTTAAAGGCACAAGATTGTGAATGTTTTCTCATGTGGTAATTCAGACTTTCATTTGAATTAAAGGCCTGATCACACTGGTTACATTTGAACTTGTCCTGATCTTCATGAAGTTTGGTATGTTTGCGTAGATATTTCAACAAACTAAAGGCCCTATCACAATACATACATTTATATGGTCTATTGTGGGTATGAGTCTTCTTGTGTTCTAGAAAATATAACTTTCTAGAGAAGTATTTGTCACACACATCACATTTAAAGGCTTTGACCCCTGAATGTGACAACAGATGATCTTTTAATGTGCTTTTTCTTTTAAATCCTTTATCACACGTAGTGCATTTAAATGGTTGGTCTTCTGAATGAACAAGAGCATGCATACGTAAAGCAACCCTAGTGATAAAAGTTTTTGCACAGTTTGGACACTTGAAGGATTTGTTTCCTGTATGCATTTTGACATGATAGGCTAAATGGCCCTGCTGTTTGAATGACTTGCCGCATACTTCACATTTGTATGGCCGTTCTCCTGAATGAATGTACATATGCCGTGTTAGTGTGTTTTTCTGAGCAAAAGCCTTATTACAGACATCACACTTATAAGGTCTCTCTCCAGTATGAGTTCGGTGGTGATTTTTTAAATTTTTTGAGCTAACAAAATTTGCGTTACAGATCTGACATTGGTATTTCTTCTCCTTGGTGGTGTAGTGTGAATATCTGTTGGTGTTTTGGGTGGAGTAGTAGCTAGTGTTGCCCAATGTTAACATTTTGGAAGTTGAAGGCTGGTTGGGGTCATTGTTTTCAATGTTATTCAGTGCTTCTATCAACATTCCATCATTATAATCAGCTAGGTAGTCATGGTGACCATTTGTGATTCCCTTCGAACTTGTGCTCTACAATCATTTATGAAAACCTACATCATAATTCATAAAGCAATTTTCTTTAATGTAAAACCGTATCATCTGTGAGTGTTTTCAAAAATCAATGATAAAGTAGAAAAGTCAGCATGGGTATAAAATCTGAATTTTCAGGGCAATTCCGATCACAAACCAAGAACAGAAAACACTTTCCTGATTCAGTCTATCTATCTGACCACAGACTGCCAGCCATTTTGACAAGATAGTTTGTATTAAAATGGTATAGATTACCTGTTGGTTAGGTGGAGGAGGTTGGTATCTGGACATAAATTGTTGGCAAGATTCTTTCAATAACTCAGCTTCTTCAGCTATTTCATAGAACTTATTACAATTATTTATTGTGATTCTTGTTATTAACATCTTCTGTGTTCTACAAATAAAATTTCTCTATAAAGTAGAAGATTTGAATATAAGAGGACCAACCTAACAACAGAATAACAGAACAAATCATATGACATAGCACATTTAATTGGTTGAATTTATAATTAGGCCTTCCTTATTATAAATGTTCTCAGATTAGGGTATGGGTTAATGAGAAAATGCATGTATTCAAGTTTAATGCCACTAGTATTCTCATACAGGTGGAGGTAATTGAGTCACTCTTTATGAATACACTGGAAGCCGGTAGTCAGTAATTATTGACATTTTTCTCATATTGGCCTAAAATGAGGAATATGTAAGATAAACCATAAATTAAATTATAACTTTCTAATTGATGTCTGTGTATTAAGATTTCTTTTAGTTTTTCTCGCTTATATTTAATAAAAATGATAAAGCCTCTAACTCACCTTAAATGAAGGTCTTCTAGTCTAAATTTAATAGAATTCTGTAACAATTCTAACAGTATATCATCTTCAAAATGAGGATTAATTTCACCAGTGTATACCCATTTAATCAAGGCAAAGGCAACTTCATATCTCAATTCTACAACAGAGAAATCAAATTCATCACCATCCATTGTTCATAGCAAAATTTAATATTGACCAGCGGTCACTTCCTGTTAATAAATAAAATTATTAATTACAGGATTGGACTTGAAAAAAAGAGCCATGTCACTAATTTGTTTCTTTTCCAACATGCTCTCTAATAGGGGGCACTCTAATAGCACCTGCCCCATAAACACTCCAAAATACAATATTTGGGATATATATGTTCAAATGAGTCTTACTTTAATTAAACTAGCATATGATATATTTTTTCTCAAAGAGTAGCCTACCTGATAAATCTAGTTTTTCTATTTCTTCTAGATGATGGTCACACCAATCATCACTTCGAGACGCTAAAACTAATTTATGACCATAAATACAATGTCCACCATCTAATAATATTACCAAATCACTGAAAAATATATCAGACTCTAGGTCGAACTAATAATACAAATAAAGCTACCGGTATTTGTGAAATTAAATATAGTCCTACCTTTCTATTCCTATTAGACTCCCGTACTACTAAGACTACTTTAAAACATATTAATACAGCTTGGTCAAGTAATTGATAGAAAAATGATTAATTCGATATAGCTTGAACCCAAAAACTGACATCAGGGTTCAGTAATCATAACATGAGACTTGAATTAGGTAGACTTTCACAAACGATGTAAAATATATTAATTCAATACAATAGAGAATTCAAAGAGCAAGTTTTTAAAAGTGTAAATTCTGAAGATCATCACATTTGACTTTCATCATTCATCATGTCCTAATTTGAACTGATGACATAAACTTTTCTTTGGTACTATATACAGTAATGTAACCTATTTCGGTGCATATAAGAATTCACCACCGAATTTTGTCAAATTTAAAAAACGGAAATTTCTTTTTTAGACTTTTTCTCAGATATTCTATAAAATAATTCAAATTGGTTTGTTTTGATTTTCTTTATGAATTCCTCACTTTGACCCTGGATATTTTATGAGTAACCAACTCGACAACAACGGCAAAATGCGTCACCTAATTTCGTGTACATTTTTGATCCATAAATAAGTCGAGAAAAACACGTTGTATGGATACCAAGTGGTATAATTAACTTCTCTTAGTATTTATCTCTAATAATACTTCATTATAACTAATGACAATTCCTTCAAAGAACAATGATGTAAAAAAACAATATTTATTGACAAAATTAGATAAGTAAAACGTGATTTATTGCTAAAAGTCATTTAAGAATATGGCCCACATTGTGTTCCATAGAATTTTTCTGCTAACACGGAATTTGCTAGTTTGTCATGTGACGTTGTTCGCTGAAATACATTCTAGCAGACGATTACAGCTTGGAATTGTAAGGAAATTCGGCTGATAAAAAATATTTGGTAATAACTGAAATCAACAATTTCGTTCATGTCAAAGTATTAATAAGCTTACATTTTACCTTTCTTGAAACTACTGGATTCATTCTGCAAGCTGACATTGTAGAGATAACCCATGTTTATCAAATCAAGCAAATGCAGAGGTCACGCAAGGTCACACATGTAAATTATTAATCATTTCCTGAGTTGCACGAAAAATAGGTTAACACGAAATTAGGTTACTTGACTGTATATATCAACATGCTCTTTTAGGAATTGTTTTAATATTTCTAGGCTATAAGTTTATATACAGTACCGGTATATAATAAGTGTCAGGCAATAACTGACTGTTTTTATTTACCAGATTATTACCTGTATAATTGTTTGTTAAACAACTCATAAATCATATCCTGTAACCTTGTTGAGGGTTGAGCCTCCTTCTCTTCCACTGTTCCTATCATTCCTACCAGAGAGTTATACTTTCTCTCAACATTCAAGAGTTCCTTCTGTAACTTCTTGTTCTGTTCTTCTAGCTGATACAGTTCATTTCTTGAATAAGTAATTTCTAAAACAGATAGAAATTTGCAAAAAAAATTCATGATGCATCTCAATATTAAAGGGACAAATGCGCCAATTTATTTTTTTTACCAATCATACATTACTACAGTGGTATAACCTATTTTCGGGCATATAAGGATTCAACACAGAATTTCGTCAAAGTGAAAAAAAAACGGATAAAAATTGTTCATGTCTTAAATGTTTCCTCAGATATTCCACAAAATAATTAAAATTGGTTTGTTTTCGATTTTCTTTACAAATCCCTCACTTTGACCCATATTTCATGAGTAACCAACTCGGCAACGGCGGCAAAATGCATCACCTATTTTCGTGTACAATGTTTGATCTATAAATAAGTCGAGAAAAACACGTTGTATGGATACCCAGTGGTATAATTAACTTCTCTTAGTATTTATCTTTAATATCAATTCATTATAACTAGTGACAATTCCTTCAAAGAACCATAATTTTACAATAAAATAGTGACTGATAAAATAAGATACGTAGCGTGATTTATTGAAACAACATACGAATATGGCCCACATTGTGTTCCATAGAATTTTTCTGCTGACACGGAATCCGCACCACTCATACGTGGGACGACATAGCAGACGACACTTGGAATTCCAATTACAGCTTGGGATTATAAGGAAATTCGGCCAATAAAAACTTGTGATGTTTTGTAATACTGAAATCCGCCATTTTGTATTTGTCAAAGTACACATTAATACATTTTACCTTACTTGAAACTACTGGATTCATTCTACTAGCTGACATTGTACAGAAAACCCATGTTTATTAAAACAAGCAAATGCTGAGGCCAAGTGAGGTTGCACATGTAAATTATTAACCCTTTCGGGAAATGCACTAAAAAGAGGTTAGCACGAAATTAGGTTACTTGACTGTACTAATCTCAGAAACAGGAATTTTTTTAACTAAGTTACTAAGCCAATCAGTAATATTTAATATTCACAGCTAACCGTCAAAATTTGTGCCTTCAAATCCATGTGTGTTCAGAAGTATCCGTGTTTGATAATTAAAAAGACAAGGCATCTAGCCCTAGGAGTATAGATTGACAGATCTCCACAATACAATGTTAATCTATACTCCAAGTTCTAGCCTGTAGTCAGAAATGGGAAATTCCTTGTTAGTGATATTTTGAAGGAATTCTGCGATTTACGTACATTTCTAGTACTTCTGAAGACTATTTAAATATGTTCTTGCCTCAAATCAATCCCCTAATATGGCACACCTGTCAATTTAAATCATGGTGTGAGATTTTTAAGAAAAAGTAGACGAATAAGCTTATCGTCACAAGTAATTAGGCTCATGGTCGATTTGATCAGAGTGTCCGATTGACCAATGTTTACAAATCATAAGTCACAAAATCGACGAATTTTCGTCTCTTTCTTCAACTTTTACAGTTGTAAATGAAAAAGAACGAATTCCTTTTCATAATGACTGATAAATTTGAGTAATGAAGCATACATAATAGTGGAAAAGTAAGCACTTTTTGACATTTTCGTGTTGCTTTTTCCTCAGCGTCTTACCGTCCATCTTGAAATTTAATGTCAACTCGTACATTTGTACAGTTTGTAACTAGAAACCATTATTGAACAAGTCAAAAACTAACAATAATTTATTGCCAATATTAAATGATTTATCTAACAAAATTTCTTGTAATAAGATTTATTTGCTTCATAATGTGAAAAAATTAAATCCGGTATGTAAAGGAAGGTATTTATTGGATTGCTAGCCGGCTGGAGCTATTTACCACTGCGTATCAAATAGTCCTAAAACATTCATCAGGCTATTTACCACGTAAATTCTGCGTGGCAAATAAATAAAACCCTTAATAATAATAGGTTCAAATAAATATTCATTAATTTGTG